AAAAGAATGACCCCATCCTATAAACTTCAGTTTAATAGGTTCCAGGAAAATGGGCCCATCCTTCCCTCTCCCTCTCTCCAGCTCATGTCTGCTTCCTCTAACCCACACAATATATTTTGCTATTTGTAGTCAAATATACTTTTTAAAAAATGAGAAATGACAGTCACTTACATGTTCACCCCCATTGACATTACGGAGATTTACACATTCATTTGAAAGAGGAACTTGTCCCTAATGGACTTTATGAACAATCATCTATTTCCATGTCATGTTGCCCTTGACATACTGCATGCTAACTGCTCTGCTCTGACTGCTGGAACCCATGCAATTTTGCACAAGATTTCTAATCCTGATATTTATTTGGCTAGTGTAGACAGTGCCCAGCAGAACAGTGTCTATTCACATCCATTTGTGCGTTGCCTCTTTTGATTGTAAGTGGATTTTGAACTTAGAAAATGACCATTTGCATATATTAGACTTTGAGGAAAGACTGAAGTATACATTTAATAGCAAATAAATGTTAACTAAAGAACAAATATTTTACTTAGAATATGAATTATTCATGTTTAGCAGGCATTTTAGATGGTACCCAGCTTTGTGCAAAGCACCGAACTCAGTATGGTAGGGGAACAGGAAACCCAAAGAAGAAATTCATAGTTCTAGCTTCCCAAGAAACTCACCATGGGGGCATAAAAATGTGCATAAACGATACCAGGGAGGGGTCTTCCTGGTGGCGCAAGGGGTTAAGACACAACCTACAGATTCTATAAATCACTGTCTTGCACATGAAAATCAGTCACGAAGCAATCACACAAATACTTTTAATAGGGTTTCACTGTCCATGGTTTTTAATAACGACACCTGTTTCCTTTATTGTAACATTTTAAATAACTTTCAGTTTGTAAAAAGCACTGGTAGGCGCATTACCTTAAAATGTTTAAAAAAAAAAGTGTATTTAAAAAATTATGCTCTTATTCTACCATGTAGTCTCCTAATAGAGAATAGAAAATGTGTTGTGAAAATTCCATTGTGACTCCTGACAAGCCTTCTCTGATCGGCTTGTAGGAGCATAGACTGTAAACCATCCCCAGGGCATTGGCAGGCATTGGCGTTGAATAGTAATCCCCACGCCTTTTACATACCAGCGCTCATGTGGTTCTTACAGGAGACAACTTTTAGCTGAGTACCAATCAGTGGCTGCCAGTTTTCACAGAAGTCACTGGGTGCAAAACTCAGGAGGCACGTTCTCTCTCGGTCACAGCACAGGCGTGGGATTTAACATGACCTCGGCCATCCCAACTGGGTGGCTCGGACTGATAGGGCAGCATCTCTCATCGATAACCCACTGGGGAGGACTAAGGAATGGCTACATGGAGATGTGTGCCCTGGATTTACCCCCGGGCATGTCTGCTCTTGAACATGCCTGCTCACCAGCTTCCTGGCTTTAGGAATGGGTAATACCAGATATTTGGTAATAGCCGAATGCTGACTATGCTTTGAGAGGAGGTTTATACCAGCCTCATAACCTCATCAGGGTTTCATGTGAGGCTGGAGACTGGAGGAGAACCGACCTCACTCAGTGCCTGTTTTCTTTTTAGCCTTATTTTAACTCCCTAGTATTGTTTGTTTTTTTTTAAGATTTATTTATTTATGCATACAAGGACCACGGTGTAGGCCAGAGGTGCTGTGGGGTGAGAGGATTCACCAGAGACAGAGGGGGTAGCAGAACAGGTGGATCAACTGAAATACACTGCTGAGGGGAGCAGCAGGTGAGTTGGGAGAGGTCTGCTGTGCCATGTGAGTAGTTCCCTGGCCCTGGCCGGGGATCGAACTCATGCTGCTGTGGCTGGTGATAGCTTTATAGCACTGAGACAACTAAGGAAACAGGTATCGTTATTAGAAACCAAGGATAGGGCCTCTCTGGTGGTGCAAGGGGTTAAGACACAACCTATGAAGCTATCTGCAGCCACTGCAGCACGAGTTCGGCCGGCCAGGGAGCTACCCACATGGTGCAGCAGACCTCTCCTGCCTTGCCCGCTACTCCCCTCAGCAGTGTATTTCAGTCAGTCTGCCTGCTCTGTTCCCCGCTCTGTCTCTGGTGTGAATCCTCTCACCCTCCCACACATCTGGCCTGTACCCTGGTTCTTGTATAAATAAATAAATAAATCTTAAAAAAATAAATAAATAAAATAAAACTCTAAAAACAGAATTGAATTTTAACTAAAGGCTGCATCAGAAATCACCAACGAGTACTTATCCCCATCAGCTTTCTTTTAGAACAACCTCTGAGCACTCCTGAGCCATGGGCAGCCCTCCGCAGGAACTCAATATCAATTTTTGCTGCTATTATTTTTAACAGTCAAGTTGAAAAATACTATCCAGGTCCCTCCCGAGCTCCTGCTCACGTTCTACCCACACTGGCCAAACTCGCCTGCGTCTGATTTATCGCCCATGCTCAGGCCTCTTGTCCCAGCACCACCATCTACATTCATCTGAGATATCTTTCCTCTACTTCTTCTGTCTTTAACTTCTCCTAAGTTCCTTATTCACTGCCTAAAAACATTCCGAAGCTGTTCCAAATATTAAAACTGTTCAAAATATTAAAACTACATTAAACAAAACAAACAAAATTGCTTTTTCCTTGAAGCCAGATCATTCCACGGTGTCCTATTATATTGACTCAGCTTTGTGGCATTTGACAAAGTAGGCCAGAGGTCCCCTTAAGAATCACCTGGAATGCTTGTTACAAATGCAGATTCCCTGGCCATGCCCCCATAGATTCTGATTCAGCAGAACTGGGTTGAGATCTTGGAATTTGCATTCCTATGAGGCACACCAGGAGACTGATAAAAGGGGTATTCAGATCCCACCTGATCAACTGGCCCCTCTTGAAATTTTTCTGCCTTGAATTTTACACTGTAATTCCAGATTCTCCTCCTTCCTCCCGAATTAATTTTTCTCCATATGTGATTCCTTCCTGAACCAGCCATTTAAAATTCATTCTTCTTAGCTCATATCCTTTTGGGATGAAATTCATCTTTCTCTTGATTTCAGCTCTGTGCCAACAGTACCTGAACCACTGCAACAGCCTCCACCCTCTCTTCTGGACCTAGAATTACACTTTCAGATATGGCTACATGATCCCTTGGCGCCTTTGTGTCCCAAACCTAATGCACCATACAATCTAGAATCTGTCCTCATCCAGTACCCCAAAGCAGCATCCCTCTGGTCACCCAATTGGGCACCCCAAGTTTACACCTCCTCCCTCCCGTCATGCCAGTTCATGAATCGAGCAGTCCAGTCCTCACCTCTGTTCTCACATTCCCCAAATGTAGGCCTTTTATGTAAGCTTTTGGACCCTGGAACAACCAAAATTCAAACTTATGTACTCAAAATCAGAAATGATCTTACCATTCTTCTGCTAAAAAAAAAAAAAACAAACTTGGCAAGTTTCCTCTTTATCTTTAAAATAGCACACAGCCCCAGCTTTGTGTCGCTGCAGGAGGTGTATGTTCTCCCCAGCAGTCTTATCTCTTAGCCCTCATCTCTCTTCCCCATCCTCTTGACTCCAACCCCCGGCATCAACACAGCATTTGCCCTCAAAATCTCTACTTTTCTTGATCTGTTCTGCTTGACGTACATCCATCTCTCAAGCGGCAGTTCACATGTTATTTCTTCATTTCCCCTCATTAGTCAAAAACTGAGCTCCTCATGACGAAGATGAAAGTGAGTCATTACTCTATTTCCACCACCTAGCACCATGTTTGCAGAAAGAATAAAGAAATGAGCAAATGGTGAATGAATGAATGAATGAATGAATGATTCCCTGAATGTGGCCAGACAGAATGGATTGCTCCTTATTTATTAGCCAGAGGCTTGGTTCATTTCTTTAGTGTAGTTCTTGCCATGCTGTGTTGTAGTTCATTGTTTCATGTCCATATTTTCAGTCACATTGTGTATTTCATTAGAAAGATAATTAAGTCCTATTTATCTTCATTTCCCGCTTATCTTATACATGGATGTCCATCTATGATGGCAGACAAGTGACAATTTTAAGCAAATGGGTTTTTAATGCTTCCTAAAAAGAATGGGAAAACTTTATTAGCATGCTATGTATGAGGGGCAGGTGTTTCTAAAGGCTTGTCTATGCTTCCATAAAGACGTGCCTCCACGCTCCCGCAGCGGTTACAGCTCTGGGCAGGCTGTGGCTGGGATCGAGTTGGGGCTGGGGCTTCTTGCCTTCACCTCTGGCTCTGGGTGCCTTACTGCTCTCCAGCAGCTGCCTTTGCAGGAGTTGATCTGCTGTCCCAGGTACAGTTCTCTGCTCCCACAGTTCTGCAGAGGATGACCCTCTATCCTGCACACTGACAGTGTGCACCCCCCTAGCCAAGGCAGTTCCTGGGTGTTAAAGTCCCCAGTGAGGGTGTGAGTCCTTCTGTCAAGGGCAACAGGGAGCTCTGTTCTGCAGCTGGTACCCCCTCTGACCAGCAAATGCCACTAAAGGCAATACTCTGAATATAATCACTCCCAGAGGCTGAAAATGGTCATCACTGTGGATATATCATCTGGTGACAATCTGTTGGAAACCGTATTTTTTTTTTCTCCCAAGTATTCTCCATAGGCATAAAAGTTATATTATTTGAGAAAGTAATCATTTTTGTAGCAACTGGGAGATTTCTATCACAGTTATATTATTACAACTGTGTTGCTCGTCCTCAGAGAAAATATTTATTGAGTGTTTTCCATCTACTTGGCACCTTACGTTTTTCAAATACTTTAACTCTCACAAGGACTCTTTTTGTCGTCTCTACTTTAGAGAGGAGGAGACAGAGACACAGAAGGTTTGAGCGACTGCCCCGAATCACACAGCCAGCAGGAGGCTGAGTTACGGGGCACTTGGTTGCAGCAATTTCTTGTCAGGCCCAGCACTTGCCTCTGCTCTCTGAGTGGGGCCTTTGGGCCTCTCACTGACGTCCATGTCTTGCCTCCTCTGCCTGCAGGATAAAGAAGCTGAAGGAGACGCTGGTTGCTGTGCAGCAGCTGGACAAGAACATGAGCAGCCTGAGGACATGGCTGGCGCACATCGAGGCAGAGCTGGCCAAGCCCATCGTCTACGAGTCCTGTGACTCGGAGGAAATACAGAGGAAGCTCAATGAGCAGCAGGTAAAGTTGTTTCCAGAAAACAGTTGAAGGAAAGCTAATAGGCTCATGAACATCTAACTCCTGCCAGGATAGAGTGGTGGTGGTGATGGATCAGGATGGAAAATCGGGAGGAAGGTAGGCAGGAGTGGGTAGCAAGGGGAGGCCTTGACTAGGCAGGTGTCGGAACAAATGGGTTCCTTGTCACCGTGCAATTAGTTGACTCTTTAGAAGCTCTGCGCTCATGAGGTTAGTGCTGTTGGCCCCCCATGTTGCCAGGCAAAGAGGGCAGGGAGATGAGCTGTGAGGAGGTAGCCAAAACAGGGCTCACAGTTTTGTGAAATTTGAAGTCACAAGCCCAGTATCATAGACTTAGATAGAAGGATTCTGTTCTACCTAAAGTGCTGAGAGAACGATTCCAGCACATGGTTTAGAGTCTAAAATAATTTTGTTTTGCAAGGCATGACCTGCAGACAACACATTTTTAATGAACACTTAATGCTTCCTTGGTTCAAATCTTGCCTTACCACTTTTCTGTATAATCTGGGGCAAAGTAAAAAACTGTTTCCAGTCTCAGACCCCTTAGATATAGAATGTCAATAATCACAGGACATGACTTACAGTGTTACTGAAAAATAATGAGGGAGGCCTCCCTGGTGGCCCAAGGGGTTAAGTCTCAGCACTATGAAGCTATCTGCAGCCACTGCAGCATGAGTTCCATCCCCAGCTAGGGAGCCACCCACGTGGCACAACAGACCTCTCTTGTCTCCCCTCTGCTCCCCTCAGCAGTGTATTTCAGTGATCTGCCTGTTCTGCTCCCCACTCTGTCTCTGGTGAATCTTCTCATCCCCCTGCACACCTCTGGCCTACACCCAGCTCTTGTATGCATAAATAAATAAATCTTTTAAAAAAAGAAAAAGAAAAAAGAAAAATAATGAGGAAAGCACTTAGCACAGGGCCTAGCACAAAATAATTGCTTAGTAAAATTTATTTTAATTATGTATTTACTACAGCTTCCTCTGTTGTAAATGTTTGAAATGATTCCATAAACATTGTGGTGTTGGAGTGTCATGCTGGAAAGGAAAGATGAATTATAATGTCTCCAAAGAGGAAAAATTCTGACAAATTTGTTTCAAGAGACAGATTAAATTGATAAGAAACATGCTTTCTATTATGTCTCTATGTGGGGTTTCTGTAGGTTTCTCTTGCCAAAATAAATGTAGACTTGAGATGGCTTCAGAGAACATTTTGTCAATTGTGTTGGTGTTGTAGATGAAGAAGAAGAAATTCAGAGACAGTATGGGATCATTTTTGACTACACTGTGAATGGATGTGAAAGCTGAGACTTTATAGTAGAGCACTTATATGTAATTATAAAGTGTTGACTTGAAAAGAAACTTTGAACAGAAGCATGAGGGGATTTTTCTCCATTATTTACTGTGGGAATTTGGTGGAGATCCTAAGGCAAATCATACAAAATTGTGGGGGGCCCTCTATGACTAGGTGCCCTGGAGTTTTTAATTCTCAGAGTTGTCCACACTGAGTTTCCAGCAATCCGTCAATTAGTCTAGCTCTTCTGCCCTGACCCGATTCCTCCAGTGGTTCCCCCTCATGAGTCTCTAAGATAGAATCAAAATTATAAGGAGACAAGACTTCACCAAGATGTCAACATAGTCGTTCTAAGTTCCCCTCACAAGAAAACCAGTTAGCAATTATCCAGAGACAAGACACCATTGTGAAAATTCCAGATCCTGGGGATGAGAATGAAGCACCCCCTTGGACACTGCAGGGACTAAGAAGGATTACATAAGAGGGGCAGCTGCCTTCTGACCACATGCTGCTCCCCAGTTGGCACAGAACCACACCAAGAAGACTTCCTGGGCCTACAGCTTCCCCAGTGACAATGGAGACACCAAGGTGGACATTAGCATCCTAGCTTTGCAGGATGCATCCTAGGAGGCCCACTCGGATCTCACCTCTCTGGGGAAATCTTGGGGCTTGACCACAGGGGGCCCAAGAGAAATGAAGGGTAGCCAGGCTTGTGGCAAACAGATCTTGGCAGACTATACCCCTGCCTGCAGCTGTGCCTGAGCAGAGACCTGAGCCAACAGTTCTGCCCATCAAAAGAGCAAAGCCAGTGGCCCTGTCTGGCAAGGAGCTTAGGCAAGAGTTCTGCCTGATTTGGGACCCCAGACATGAAGCTACACAGGCCTTTGAGCCCTTCTTAATGTCCCACATGGTTAGTGAAACAAATTTGCAGCCCTGCCCAACAGCTGAGCATAACCTCCTGTCCCACCCCACCTGTGCCTGGTGAGAGAATCCAAGCTGCTCTGGAGCCCATCCAACTGCCGATCAGGCCAGGAAGAACCAGCAGCCCTCCCCAACTGTTGAGCTTAGCCTCTGAGCCCATATCACCAGGGAACCTGAACAGTGACCTTGAGCAGCCTTAGAGTCCAACCTCCAGCCCCACCCAGCCATGGCCTACAACCCTCCCAACAGCAGAGTCCCACCTGGGACATGTCTGATTGTTGGCCACAGCCTGCACCCCAATCGTACTGAGAGACTACCCAGTAACCTCACTCAAACACCTGTAGCCCACTGGACAGCACAGCCTGTGGCCCACTGGACAGGAGAGCCTGAAAGGCCACGCCCTGGCTCATGAAGGCCAGTCCATAGCTGGGTAAAGCTGGAGAACCCTCACAACCAGGGAGCCTGGCCAGTGCCCTTGCCAAGCAGTGGGGCACAGTCACCTTCCTGATATTGAAACCCAGACTGTGGCCTTCACTAACCTGAGTAGAGTCCAGCCTGGCAGTACCACCTGGTCAGGAGGCTGAGGTGCTACCCACCAGGAGCCACTGCAGAGCCCATCTTGCTGCCCCTGCCCAACCAGAGTCCAGTTGGGGCATGTGCCCTGCTGAGGAATTCAGCACTCGAGTACCTGTCCTGCCAGGGGGATGGCAGAGTCAGATAAAGACAAAATGATCTCATTTATATATGTGGAAACTGAAAAGAACTGAACTCATAGAAATAGAGTAGATTGGTTATTGCCAGAGGCAGGACATGGTTGGTCTTGGGCAAAATGGGTGAACATTATATAACAGGTAAAACTTCCTGTTATAAGAAGAATAAGTATAACATAGTGTATAGTTAACATACTGCATTGTATAACTGAAAATAGAAAGAATCTTAAAAGTAAAAAAAAAAAAATCTTAGAAGTTCTCAACCTCCATATACAAATTTAACCATGGGAAGTGATGGACGCTAACTAAATTTATTGTGGTAATCATTTCACAACATAGACATTCATCACATTGTATATAAACTTATGTGTTGTTATAAGTAAGTTATATCTCCATACAGTTGCAAAAAACTCTTTTGAGTACTTGGAGGAAATTAAAGCAAACTGCTATAACTTATAGAGATGCATGGGTTATGTTCAGCTATCTAACACTTCTTCCAAATGTATTTCCTTATCCAAGACGTTCTTTAATTAAGACTTAAAATTTACCTGGAGATCTCATTCACAGAGGCCTCTATCTTTTAGTTTGTGCAAATAGTGAGTTCAATTTTGTAATATCTTATTTTATATTTTAGACCAGAAATTATTCTGATATCTTCCACATCAGTAAAAGAGATTTTCTAAGAGATTTGAAAGAACTGTTGAGTAGGAATAGTTTTAATAGTATTAATTAATAGTTTTAATAGGAATAGTTTTAATAGTTCTAGTATCAAGTTTATTAAAGTTCCTAAGTTTAATCAAGGTAGTTTATTGCATTCAACAAAAAAAGCAGTGTTTATATAGAAGACATTTGAGCATAGTGTTAAGGAGGAAAATAAGAGGACAAGTATACTCACAAGAATATAATTCTCAGCTCTCTGAGTAAGTTGAGGAATTATCATTAGAACAAGAGACAAGCTAGGCAAACTAAAAATGATCCCAAAGGAAAGGAAAACACATTGAAGACTTTGCTGAACAGAGCAGCAAAAATGATACTGGAGGCCTCAGGTTTAATAATGGAATGCTCTGGGTAAGTGGAGTGAGAAGGTCAGTAGAGAAAATAATGCACATTTTGGATTTGCAGTTAACATATTTGCAGTACACATGGCAGGAATTGGACATCCGTGCCTCGTTTAGCACCACACACTTTCCATTTCTGTCCAGAGTTTAAAATTGCTCGCCCAGGAACTGCTGATGATAATGATGTCATGCATGATAAAGAGTCTTGGTCCCCTAAAACAATAGGTGGAATTTTAATCATGGTGGAATTCACTGTTGATAAGCTTGCAGATCTTTTGAACGCCAATGCCAGTGCTCAGTGCCAAGTCTTAACAGAAGCACATGCATTTCTTTGATGGAATGACTGATTGACTGATTGATTGATTGATTGACATGTGATGTTAGAAGTGGCATGTCTGTGAAGTAGATTCCGGGGCAGGATTCACTTTTCATTCACTAAAGAAGCTAAATTTACTCTTCATAAAATTAGTCTATTTCACTTGCTCATTTTATATTACATTGTTCACATAGCAGGAATATTTCTAGATTCATTTCTCACAGTCTTGGGCTGACCGGATTTCATATTTGTCAATGTATGGCCTGACAGCTTGCCAGCCAATCCCGCGGCAGCCGCTCCTGTCTGAGCACATGGTCACTGATAAAGCCCGTGTGTCCCCACAGGACCTGCAGCGGGACATCGAGAAACACAGCACAGGGGTGGCCTCCGTCCTCAACCTGTGTGAGGTCCTCCTGCACGACTGTGACGCTTGTGCCACAGACGCCGAGTGCGACTCTATCCAGCAGGCCACGCGGAACCTGGACCGGCGGTGGAGAAACATCTGCGCCATGTCCATGGAAAGGAGGCTCAAGTAAGCTGGCTCTTGGAACACTGGGAGAGGAAGGCACGGACAGGAAAACTTTCAGAAACGATGCCCAGAGTATTCATGGTGCAGCATGATTTTTGCATCTCAGTGTCCAGAAATTAACCTTGGTTTCCCAAACCTGCCACCATCTGCCCTTCATTGGGAAGATGAGTGAATTCAAAGGTAATATCTGAATCCAACAAGCCACGTGACACCAGTCCTAACCATATAAATACAATTCAGAAAAATAAAAATATGCTCTTCCCAAGTAAACGGTTCCTGCATTTGTGGCTGTAAAAGAAGTAACTGTCTTTTATCCAAACTGAAATAATAAAATAAGACGGTTATTGAGGTTGAAGCTCTTTGACATATAGCAAGTGGTGATGTGTCAGAAAACTCTCGTAGGGATTTAAGGCATGTAGCTTTGTGTTCTCTCTGGGGAACTCGTGCAAAGCTAGTATTTGTCTTGCTGTCTGCAATAGGCTGATGTTGGTGAGGGTGAGTTTGCTGTTGGACTGCAATGGATTTTCAAGTTTCAGTTTTACTTTAGTGGAATGTTGGTATGAGCAGAGCCTGCAAGCATGTGGTTGCATTTCTAAACTTCCTGTGGATGCTTACCCAGAACAGTTCAGATTATGCGCTTTTAATACTTGACTAATTTCCCAATCCAGAGCTACAGGACATGTGTTTTTTTAAAAAAGAAAAAAAAAACAGCTGTTTTATTTTAGCTCAAACAGTTGTCTTTCTTTTCACTCTCGTCCAATTAGACTGAAGGCACAGTTACTCTTTGGCCCAACGGTTGCTGCGTTGGGCTGTCCTGATCCCATGGCAGGCTGTAGGCCCAGGTCTGGAGCATAAACAGTCTCCAGCAGTCTTTCTTTTTCTGTCTCAGGATCGAAGAGACGTGGCGGTTGTGGCAGAAGTTTCTGGATGACTATTCTCGTTTTGAAGACTGGCTGAAGACTTCAGAAAGGACAGCTGCCTTCCCCAGCACTTCTGGGGTGCTCTATACCGTTGCCAAGGAAGAATTAAAGAAATTTGAGGTGACTAGTAATTCCAAATACTTAACCCTTAGTTTGCTGTCCAGGTTGCCGGTCGTTGGTGTCCCAAGATCTAAACGTTCACCCACACATTATTTGTTCAGACAGCTTGGTGATGACTTTGTGGTCTTAATCATTATAACCTCATATGTTGTTAAAAAAAAAAAGGGAGAGGAAATTTTAATTTCAAGCTGTCAAGAAGTCAAATAAACTAATAATGAGGAGAAATTCCAGCTTCCCCCCCAAAGGAAGGCATTGTTTTCAATTCATAATTCTTTATAAGAAACCATCCCTCGTTTCTGAGATTGAGGTACAATGGTTTTCCATACCCTGAACAATCTATTTTCCAAATATATTTTCTTGATTTTTTTTTTCTTAATCTTCTTGGAGCACAGCTTCACTTTTTAAAATCATTGGTAAAAGAGAGTTGACTCTAGAATGGAAGGAAACGTTTTAATTGGATCCCATTTCTATTACAAATGAAGGGCCATTTTGAGACACTGAAGACTTTTCAATTACATAGAGACAAAAATAGCCACAATATAATCATCCTCTAAAGGAAGGACTCATCCAGGGCTGGTCCCAGTCCCTTGCCTGTGTGTTCCTGTTTGCCTTGGTTTTGCTGAATCACACCCGTATGGTGGAGACCCAGCTTCTCAGCTGCCTCTCGTGTTTACAGGCAACCTGACAAGGCTTGAAGTTGACCACGTTTTGATCTTAGGTTTCTTTTCCCTTCAATTCCCATTGAGAGGCAGGCAATACTCATATATTATCAAAGTATACTCACAGCAAAGAGTTCTGATGCATATATCTTACAAAAAAATCATTCTCAGTTGCTAAGCCTACCCAGGCTTCTTACTCTGAGACCTGTTATAGGAAAAATTAAGTTAGGGTTTTGTCTTGGGGGATTTAAAATCAAAGATCATAGAATTGACAAAATGTTCAAATTCTCAGTTAAATAAATGAATTAGTTGGATGTCTCCATATGGATTTATGTATAACTGTACCACTAAATTTTCACATTTTTCCAATCTAAAATGTTTTCCCTTAGAAACTTCTAGTAAAAAGCCACCATATACTCTGCAGAATTCAATTCTTCCAGGTTGAAGCAGTGGTAGGAGAGGCATTCAGATCCTGCATCTTATCACACTCAGCTTCCTAAAGGTTAACACCTTCTATAATTAGCCAACTCTACAAAGCGGATTAGGAAGATGCTTCCTGATGCTATTTTAGACTCTCAGATTTTATGGGGAAAGTTAGTCTTGTAAATAGATTCAATGATGAATGACTCTATCATTTATCTTGTAATTAGTTTTCTTAGGAAATGGAAATAAGTCACAAAATCAAAATCATGTATGAGGAAAGTCTTTAACCTGTTCATTGCATGAGTATTGGGAAGGATCTGGGGGTGCTGGGGTGCCCACCACATGGTCCACCAGCACCTTAGTGGGTGCACATATACCCTGACTTCCAGCAATCACAAAACCTGAATATTCCTTACCACTTTCTTTTCTGGGTAAATTAGGTTTTGCAGACTAACTGATTGGATTTACTAGGATGAAGACTCTTTCAAGACTTATTTTATTTTTATTATTTTGTGGAGGTAATGTGGATTTGCTACACCATAATCTATATCAGTGTATAGATTCACAGCTCTTCAGCTGTGTCTTATCACAACACATCCACCACCACAGCACCCCTAACGCTCCCTTAGAATCCCTTTCCTCTTTGCTCCCCAATAATCTTCTCCCCATCCCCCTCTGGCAGCCTTCATTCTACCCTCAGATTCCTAGTGTTTGGTTTGGTTTAGTTTTGTCAGTTCCTTTGTTTGTTTCTTTATATTCCTTGTATATGTGAGTGAAAACATCAGGTTGTCCTTGTCCTCCTGATTCATTTCTCTTATCATAATCCCCACCAGTCCCATCCATGATGTCACAACAGCAACAGCTCATCTTTTTTCACAGTTGCACAATATGCTGTTGTGTATATGCACCACATCGCTAGCCACTCCTTGTCCTTGGGCGCGCAGGTTATTTCCACCACTTGGCCATTGTAAGGGGTGCTGCAGTGGGGAGTGCAGATAAAGCATGACGCTTCTTTTTTGATGATTCTTTTGGGGGAGGTGGCAGAATGTATATATATATATATATATATATATATATATAAATAATTATTTTAAAATTATTTAATATTAATTGTAATTAATTATTTGTAAAACTATTCTCTGTATGTGTGTATATGTTGCATACATGCTTGCATGTGTGAGTTACATGTACCTATGTATTTATTTCGAGGTACCGTTTTCTTTTCATGTTAGTTTGGTCCCCTCCGCCTCCTTCTTCCACACCTATGACCGTTCCTTGCACACTCATAAGACATGACCTGCCCCTCCACCTGGGACAGCGCGGCTTCCATCTCCATGGCACCGCCTTGCGGAGCCCAGGTACCCTAGCTGAGCCCCCCCTGATGCTCCCCCCGCTCTGCTGCTCTGTTGTCTCAGGCCTTTCAGCGGCAGGTGCACGAGAGCCTGACCCAGCTGGAGCTGATCAACAAGCAGTACCGCCGCCTGGCCCGGGAGAACCGCACGGACGCTGCGTGCAGCCTGAAGCACATGGTGCACGAAGGCAACCGGCGCTGGGACGACCTGCAGAAGCGCGTCGCCTCCATCCTGCGGAGACTCAAGGTCCTTATTCAGCCCCATCTGTAGCTCCAAGGCCCAGAGAAGGGGGTTGGGCCATTTGAACACAAAATGGAGACAGGAAGGCTTTCATAGCATTGCATGGCTAGAGGGGCATCCGGAGCTCACGAGACAATGAAGAATTCCTGGCTCTCATTGCACGCTGAGCATGGCGGGAACAGGCGGGATATGTCAGTCCATGTCTTTGGGCTTTTAATTCCTTCTCATTTTCTCTCCCGGGCAGCACTTCATCGGGCAGCGTGAGGAGTTTGAGAATGCGCGGGACAGCATCCTGGTGTGGCTGACCGAGATGGATCTGCAGCTCACGAATATTGAGCATTTTTCGGAGTGTGATGTTCAAGCCAAGATAAAGCAACTCAAGGTAACAGAGTATTGTTTTTTCAAAGCTGTCAGAAAGTCTGCAGAGGAAGGGACTTATAGGTCCACTGGGGAAGAACAGTGAAGGACTCTTCCTTTCAAAAAGATTAGTTCTTCTTGATTGAAAAAAAAATCAGGAAATACAAAAGATATTAAAATTAAGTGTATTGCCAGTGATAACTGCCATTAACATAGGTTCTTTTAGGTTTTTTTAAATTTATTTATTTATGTATGCAACTGGGTACAGGCCAGAGGTGTGGGGGGTGAAGGATTCACCAGAGACAGAGTGGGGAACAGAACAGGCAGACTGACTGAAATAACTGCTGAGGGGAGCAGCAGGTGAGACAGGAGAGGTCTGCTGCGCCATGTGGGTCAACTCCCTGGCCAGGGATCGAACTCGAGCTGCAGAGGCTGCCAATAGCTTCATAGAGTTGACACTTAACCCCTTGTGTCACCAGGGAGGCCCCTGCTTTTAGTTTTTAACTGGATGGCAGAGTGTTAGTGATTTTCTGCTTTGGTGATATTTTTTTTTTCTGATTTGTTTCTATCATCTTCAAATAATTTATTTGACCTCCATATTCCAAAGCAATAAAACTTTCTCATGTTGGAATTTTATTCCACATATCTTACCTTTTCTTAGATGCCAAGTTAACTTGGGAACACATTTGCTCTTTTTCTCTAACTCAAACACAGTAGCTACTTAAATGATAAATGGCCTGGATGTACTTTAGATACAAATATTCCCTAAATGGAAGCACATTTTACAGCCTGAGTAATTTACTATGTGGCTTAGGAAATTTTCTGTCCAAGATTGATTTTTTTAAAGAATAGTCATGGTGCCATCACCTTAGGTAGTTATAATAAAACTTTATTTTTTTCAGAATGAAATACGAAATACTAAACCTGATATTCTTCCCATTCCCGCTTAAATCCCGAAACAATGAAAGTTTTGTTTGAAAAGAATTTGTGACGTTGGATGATTTCACATTGTCATTGGATGGTTTCTCTTAGTAATCTTTGATACAGATCAAGAAGTCGCAAATTAAAATATTCAGTGTATTTCTTCAAAGTGCTAAATTTATTTCAGTAACACTGTGATAGTAATGATGCTTTTGTTCAGTGCTATCAACCCCATGATGGTTTCAATCCTTTTCCTAGTGATTCTCTATCCAAACTGTCCCTGGTGATGAATTGTATGAGCCAAAGTGATCGTTCTGATCATGAAATTCTGATTCTATTTCTGACTCCTGTTCTTTGAAATGTTGATGTTGGGCCTCCCTGGTGGCCTAGGGGTTAAGTCTCAGCACTATCACTTCCATGGCCTGAGTCAAGTCCCCCCACCAAGGAGATACCCACATGGCGCAGCAGACCTCTCCTGTCTCCCCGCTGCTCCCCACAGCAGTGTATTTCATAGATCCGCCTGTTCTGCTCCCCACTCTGTCTGTGGTGAATCCTCTCACCCTTTACCCCTGTACCTCTGGCCTACACTGCAGTTCTACACAAAAATAAATAAAATTTAAAATAAATAAATGTTGATGTCTTACTTGAGACAGCAACAGCCTCTTGGCTTGTTATGGCAGATGACAAATTCACTCTCTCCTCCTAGTTTTTCTGAATATCTTAACATTATTTCAGATCAATATGAGCAGTAATAACTTACAAGGACCTTCTGCTCCCTAGGCCTTCCAGCAGGAAATTTCACTGAACCGCAATAAGATTGAGCAGATAATTGCCCAAGGAGAACAGCTGATAGAGAAGAGTGAGCCCCTAGATGCGGCCGTCATCGAGGAGGAGCTGGATGAGCTCCGGCGCTACTGTCAGGAGGTCTTCGGGCGCGTGGAAAGATACCACAAGAAGCTCATCCGCCTGCCTGTATGTCACTGTCGTTAACTCTGGAGGAAATAAGTTATGGGGGAGGTGGTAGAGTGAGTGGTGAGGGCACAGGCTTCACAGGGCGTTTGGGTTCCTGTCCTGGTTCCACATGTAAACTTGGGCCAGTTACTTCAGTGCTCTTACCTCAGTTTCCTCTGTTGCAAAACTGGCACCTCCCTCGTAGAAAGGATTGCTTTGGGCATAAAATGGGTTAATAGCAACATATAGCTTAGAGCAGTACTTGGCACATATATTCTATGGAGGATAAAGAATCTTCTAGAAGAAACAAGGGAATGAAAGTGAGCATGTAAATAGTTGCTCGATTGATGAGATTGTTTAGTTGAGTCTTTTTCTCTTCCATTTCCCCAACTGCTACCATAATCACACCTTTTTGTTGAGGTGTGATTATGAGGCTATTTGGAAACTTCTGTCATAAAATACATTATGTACCTGGGATATAAAATCAAAAAGGAACAGCTAAGCTTTTATTCGTAATTTCCCTCTGCTCTTGACATGGGCTGGGTTCTGCACTGTGTGGCGGTAATGGTACTGGGTTGCTTTATTTACATTATTTTATTTCATCTTATATTAAGTATGCGAAGTAGTTTCTAACAGTCTAGCCATGTTACCAGTGATAAAATTGAGGCTTTGGTAAATTAACTTATGAGGCATTTTTCAAAGTAATCAGAAGATTCTTACAAAGTTGATAATAAAGTGTATTGTCACCGCCTCCCAGATAGGGCTGTGACCTGGGTGAGCGTGAAGGCTGAGGTCAGGTGAGAGGTAGAACGCGAAAAGCAGCGAGGGGATCTTCGGTTCGCCTTATAACGGAGTTGGCTTGACTGCATTTTTAGCTCCCGGACGATGAGCACGACCTCTCCGACCGGGAGCTGGAACTGGACGACTCTGCAGCCCTCTCAGACCTCCACTGGCACGAGGCCCCTGCGGACGGCGCGCTGTCCCCACAGCCTTCCTCTAACCCCTCCCTCTCACTCGCCCAGCCTGTCCGGAGCGAGCGGTCAGGACGAGACACCCCTGCCAGTGTGGACTCCATCCCTCTGGAGTGGGACCACGACTATGACCTCAGCCGGGACCTGGAGTCAGCTGTGTCCAGAACGCTGCCCTCCGAGGATGAAGAGGGTCAGGAGGACAAAGATTTCTACCTCGGCGGCGCGGTTGGTTTATCAGGTAGGAAAGCGCTCTTCCCGCACGCCAGCTCGAAAGCAAGGAAAGGGGAATGAATATTGGACTGGGAACATGTGAGCTAAGCAGACACATTTTCTTCCTTCTCCCACGAAGGAGACGGTGCGTGCAGAAGGGAACTCTTGGCTGTGAATGGCCACTGCCACTCACTTAGGTGTGGCCTCTGGTCTGTCCTGCAGGTGCTTACCGTGGACCAGTGCGGTGCTAAGCTTTGAGGACATACAGTTGCTTTTCTTCTCAAAGAATCTGCACTTAGCATGGGACAGAGACGAATAGGAAGGGCTCCGGTGCTCAGCGCTAGGACAGCAGTGCCTGGACCTGGGGGTATAGACGTACACGAAGGGGCGACTCACCAGGAACCTTGAGGAAAGTCTGTAGGGAACAGGCTTTTGAGCTGAGACCTGAAGGATCACTAGGAGTCAGGTAGAAACAGTAATGTTTGGGGAAGAAGGGAGAGGGAGCACAACAACTTGACCATTAGCCATTAGCCAGATCACCTGAAATCTGGCCAGAATGACAAGACCGAGAGGTCTGGAGTGGACAAAGAGGAGGTAAAAGACAAACGAAGAGCTGGTCATAAGGCAGCCTGCTCACCCGGGAAAGCCTCTGACCCTGGAGGCGATGGAGAACCACAGCAGGGTCTCCCTTACGGAGGGAGCCCAAGTGATCATATGCGTATTTCAAAGAGCCTGTCTCCACCCTGTATGGTAGAGGCACATTGGGAGGAAGAGATGTGAGGATTTTATAATCCACAGCACGGACGTGCCAGTGACCGGAGCTAAGGAAGCAGCATGCATGTAGAGAATGGAAGAGCTGGGAGATGTCGGGACGTGGCCCCTCATCACTGCTCCCTGCAGAACTTGGATTGAGATACTTTGTGGCTTGGGTAGCCTGGTGACAGATGTAGGGGGTCATACACCTGAAGGGCTACAAGAAGGAAAGGATGTGTGGGTGCCTCCAGGGCCGCGAGACAGGGAGGAGATAGGAGCAGTGCACACATCCTGCCGAATACCCACAGGGAAAATCCCAGCAGTAGGTTGGCTAATGATCAGCTTCAGGAACTGGACATGCTGATGAAAAGTTACCTGGGTGCAATGATAATTGTCTCTGGGTAGCTGGGGGTCACACCCAGCTGGTATATAAAGTGAAACAGAAGGACACCCAAAGACACACATATAATGAGGGGAAGACAGAGAAAGAGGAGCATTTGCCCGTGATAATAGACTAATTGGAGGCCAGACTGTGGCACCTGTAAGTGCATCTCCTACATTCTCTAAAAGGACATTTCTACCTGTTTCTGGTGGCTCACATTTAGACGCCTGAGGGCACAGCCCTGTCTCGACAGGCCTTGGCATTTCACAGCCTGCATCTGGCGCGGCCACTGGCTCATGGGACTGTTGGGCCTTGACTTGGGGCTTTGCACCCTGAGATTTTCTGTGTTAACTGACACAAGACATGATCTCAGGCCCAAAGGAAGAATGTGAAAAATGAAGAATACTGATGTTGATTACATGTTATAATTTGGGTATATTTGTGTAGTAAGCTATAGTAGCACAATTATTTTCCTCTTATATTTTTATGGGGTTGTTAGAAACTTTAAAAGACATATGTGTTTTTTCTTCCTATAGATATAATATTTTTTTTAAAGATTTATTTATTTATACAAGCACTGGGTACAGTCAGAAGCGCGGGAGGGTGAGAGAATTCACCAGAGCCAGAGCGGGGAGCAGAGCAGGCAGAAGGGTCGAAGTACACTGCTGAGGGGAGCAGCGGGTGGCAGGAGAGGTCTGCGCGCCATGTGGGACCCTCCTCCGGTGGCCGGGGAGCAGCCGGGGATCGAACCAGCGCTGTAGAGGCTGCGGGCAGCTTCGCAACCCAGCACTCAACCACTGTGCCACTGGGGAGACCCTAGATACAATTTTTTTATTGAACTAACATTGCATTACTACATTATATAGTTTGCATGTATGCATCATTAAACATCAACATCTGGATTTGCTACATTAAGTGGCATATTCTACTGAAAGCCCAGTCTGTTCTCTGTCATACAATTGGCCCCTCAGGCCCCATTTATCTATCCTTCCCCCTTCCTTTCTAGTAACCACAAGTTTGGTCTTACAGGCTGAAAGTGTGTTTTTGTCTGATTTAATTCACGTGTTCGTGTTGTTTGACTATGCAGCGCCTGTGAGTGAGATCCCTGGACAGCGCTGCTCTAGAATCTGTTGAAATTCCAGTTCTGCCACCTCCTAGCTATTGAAATTGGATAGGTAACCCAGTTCCCCCACACCTCTGCTTTCTTATCCATACAATGGGAAGCACTCCCATGCAGCCCATAGCTTACCTGAGGATGAGTGAAAGCTTAGAACAGCCCCTGACTCCTAAGATCTCTCTCTGTGTGAGCTCTCGCGAGGATTCATTCCAGGGAACCTCTGTGAGTTTGCTCACACTCCTCAGGAACTCTGTCTGGAAGGATTAACTGCCTTTTTTTTCTCTAGGAAAATTATTTTCCTGCCGCCAGGGAACCAAGTTTGGCAGGACATAGCTGGCAACTTAGACTGTGTTCTTTTTACAGATGTAATGATCCCTGAAAGTCCTGAGGCCTATGTAAAACTCACAGAAAATGCAATCAGAAATACTGCTGGTAGGCACGAAAAGTCGAAGCAAGCCTGCCTCACCTGTAACAAGCCTCCTTTCTTAGCACATCTGCTGTTCCTCTCACAGCTCTGCGGCACACGCATGTTAAGGGAGGACCTTTCTCTCTTATTACGATGCTAGAAAAAGAAATAGGCAGCACACTCACACAATAATTCCACTGAACAACATCAAGTATAAGAATGAAATAACTTCTCAACTCGTTCAGTGGTAATCAGTGTCATTGAGTATACATCTGTGGTCCCCAGGGACAGCAGAAAATCAGAGGTGTGAGCCCTCATCTTGGCCTGGGTTGTCTTGGGCTCTACTGGATTCGCGAAGTAGTGACTTTGTGATTTTGAGGATTTGCAGACCCCCCCCCCCCTCTGCTGGGGGTGCAGGACGGAGGGCTCCAGGCCCAGGCCCACGTGCTGCATGTGTGGCCTCCTGCCCAAGGCTTCATCCTCATGCTCTCAGGAGTCACACATAAGACAAGTGCAGAGACCAGATGTGTCAGCCCCAAAAAGTTTACCATTTCAGTGTAGTCAGTCTTACCTCATAAAACAATTTAAAATGAAAAACAGGGCATAAGACCTCAAAACTTACATTTTTCCTGTAAGAACAGAACTTGTCCAGGAACAAGAACAATTAAGCAAAAATAAGAAACCAGTTTTTTTAATATGCACTGGGACAACTGTAGTCAGTAGCTTGGGGAGGGGGTGGGAGAAGAGAGTTTTTACACAATTTGAATTGTAAGGTTATTAGTCTACTCTTAAGTTTTTGAAGAAAAGCAAAAGAACAGAAAGCGAAGTAGCATTGCCACAGCGGTATCTACCTGAGTCAGCCTCAGGAGAGACTTCTTCCATAGTTTTAGAAAACCATTCTTAAAAAAAAACCTTAATAAGCTCACTAATATTGGTTCTGCTTTCACCCTGTGCTAGCTTCACTCAGTCATCACTGTTCTTGTTTAGTTCACAAACCTTCATAAAGACTTGCATGTGCACGCGCACTCACCCACACAAATACGTTTGCAAAAAGGTGTGACATCTCTGAAAAGAGAGGAGCCAAGCATTTAGGTATGAGGAAGAGTGAGCTTAGGTGGAAATACTGTACAATCATAGCTTTCTCCTAGTTTTGTTTTAGTTTTTAAACAAAAGCCAGCCCTTGCTATCTCCTATGCATAACTGTCCTGTCCTGAACTTGAAGTTCCTACATGAATGAATCAGACCCCTGACCCCACAAAGCACCATCTTCTGAGATGCAGAAAAAGAAAGTGGAGGACATATCTGTCCCTGCTTGCTAAGGGACTGCTGGGGGACACGAGAAGTCACTGCTTCTAGTTATTGAGCAGCAGTGGACACCACCTTGGGTTTTTAGAAAGGCCTTCCATCGTTTACATCATGCAGATTTTCAGAGAATCAGCTGGAAGGGGGAGCAGAACACAACAGAACCCTTTTGCAAAATCTCAAACATGTTCTTTGGTCCATCCATCTAAATATTTAACCCTCCAGCACTTCAGTACTAAATTTGCTTTATAATTTCCTACACACATGCCATTACTATACTACCTTGGCTAAAACAATTTATTAAACTTCTCCTTGAAAGCCAAGCTTGTAACTATTCTTGTGGTTGGCACTGCAGGGGACCCCAGCACCATAGAGTCACGGATCCGGCAGCTGGGTAAAGCCCTGGACGACAGCCGCTTTCAGATACAGCAAACCGAAAAGATCATCCGCAGCAAAACTCCCACGGGACCAGAGCTGGACGCCAGCTACAGGGGCTACGTGAGTATGCCCGACCCAAGCGAGCCTGACACGTAACTGGAAGTCATGGTGGTGTGACAAAGAACGGTCCGTATGCGGCAGGAGGGCTGTCTGAGCTCTGCAAACACCAGGCTGCCCTTGAAGTCCTGGTATGGATGTGCAAAGCACAGCCCTGTTAGCAGGTGACCAGCAGAAGAGCTGGTCTGTGCTCAGACTCAGCAGCCTCGTGGTCATGTTCCTTTATTGTTCTTTACTCGGAGAACGTAGTAGAACGCCACAAGATGTTTTGGCCCCCAGAAGTGATCAGGTGTTTTTTCAAATTCAGCTAATAGTTTTTGGACCAAGGTTACCCTTAGAACAACAGATTTTAGCTAACAGATTACTAATGTGGACATTTTTTAGCTCTTTTCCTGAATTTATTGATTCACTTAGTAGCCTTGGAACCATTTCCTCTCCTCTGTTCTTAGAGTGCTTATTCTGGAGAAGACAATTCTGGTGAATGGAAAAGAGAGCAAGGCATTGCATCTTTTATCAGTTCTATGGGTGCATCTATTAATAAAATAGATAACAGTTTTACTTTCCACTCAAGTAACTGACTAAATTTTCCCAAAATTCCTACATGTACATTCTTACGTGAAATTTGGAAATAAATCTCTTCCATGGCCTCAGACCTTCTTTTCATAAGGTGGATTAGTAAAAAGGTGGATTAGTAAAAAGAAAGAAAAATTATTTTCCCTAAGTCTTATGAAACTCACAAATACTTCTTTTTAAAACCAGGGAAGAGAACATTCTAGTGATACAAGCTTATGTGAATATCCTCACGACTGCAGAAGAGCAATTAATCATGAATTTGGTCTATAATGCCAACTTCTATTATACTAAAACCTCTATTTTTTTTAAGTGTGCTGTGATTTCATGATGACCAGGCTGACATCACTAAAAGTATACTTAGCCTCAGTAAAAGTAATCAAGTAATTTAATAATAATGTGATTCGTTAGAGACTTTGAAAGGTAAGTTAGTATTCAGCAGAGCAGAAGAGCCTTGAAATCATTTGTTCTTTTCATCTTCGAGTAGTGTTTATGGGATTAAACATGCAGTTGGAAGCTTTTTCATAGCAGAATTAATTCCCTTAATACCAATTAAGCATTGTTTAAATTTTCTCATGAAGCAGCTGGCTTTGGTATTATTGCCTTTTGCTTTAAAGTACCTTAATTATTTAATGCAAAAAATATTCCTTTGAGATCTGTGATAACATTTTTGTTCCCACATTTTAGTTTGAGGAAAAAAAGAGCAACTTGCCAAAAGTGATGTCTTGTCTTGCCAGCTGAGGGCTCTGAGTTGTAAACCCTGGATTGCTGTGGTCTCTTTGGGTTCAACAAATTTAAGAGAAAATTTCAGGACTTCTCAGGCAGAATATGTCTTCGAGACCTGGCTTATGTGAATGTGTCATGTGTTTTTGAACTTGACTTATTTTTAGCAGCAAGCAGCAGGGAAATGAGACCCAGGCATGGCCCAATTTGCGGAGGTACAAAGATATTTTCCCCTGTTCTCATAGTGGTAAAAAGCTGAGAGTTTTGGCTGAGTTTTTTTTTCTGTCCAAACAGATGAAGCTGCTGGGCCAGTGCAGTGGCAGCATCGACTCTGTGAGGAGACTGGAGCACAAACTAAAGCAGGAAGAAGAGAACTTCCCTGGCTTCGTAAACCTGAACAGCACCGAAAGCCAAACCGCTGGTGAGTTGAGTAGTATCAGTTCACCAAGAGGGCATGGAGGGTCTGGAAGGTCTGGAAGCTCTTTCCTGTGTCCAGGCCGAGCACACTGTCCTGAGCTCTTGCCTTCGAGTTGCAATGAGGGAGGTGACAAAACGTCAGTGTTTCTCATGTCCCATTTCTTTCCACTCGCTGTCTCTTCTCTCCCCAGCCAGGAATTCAAGGTGTTTGTTCTGGTTGTTCTGCTGCAGAAAGAACCAAACAACACCTTCTTACACACGACTGCATGGTATTTCGTAAAGCTCCTTACGGTGTTAGTCTGTAGCTATTTTTCCCCATCCATTATCATTAAAAGTCCAGATAGGAAAAACACAGCCATTAGACTCACTTAACTGATCTTTACTGATGACAACAGAAATGCCCAGTAGACTTACTTTTATTTCTGTTGCTGTTTGAAGTCAGCCACCAAGCCACGTGTACAGAATTTCCTAAGCATCGCAGCGGAGCCAGATAACTCAGCCTCTCCTGCCTGTCTCGCCAGGTGTGATTGACCGGTGGGAGCTCATCCAGGCCCAGGCGCTGAGCAAGGAGCTGAGGATGAAGCAGAGCCTGCAGAAGTGGCAGCAGTTCAACTCTGACCTGTGCAACATCTGGGCCTGGCTGGGGGAGACAGAGGAGGAGCTGGAGCAGCTGCAGCACCTCGGGCCCGGCACCGACATCCAGTCCATAGAGCTGCAAATCAAAAAGCTCAAGGTAGCTGCCCAGGGCCTTCCCCATGGCGGCTGGGCAGTTGACCGCGTGGGGTGCCCACACGGGAGGCTCTCGCTGTCTCGTGAAAGCAGCAGCGGGGAGTTGCCAACAGGAATGAACACACACTCTCCTTAGCCCCAGTCACCCCAAATCGGAGCATTTATATGGAAAATTGGGAAGGGTGGAGAGATGTACCCTGGCGTGGAACTACCCCCCAGGTAACCATGTATGACTTCAGGAATTGGTATTTAAGAAATCGCCAATTAAACTTTTATGAAACAAGCCGGTAGCTCTAGGACCTCCTTAACCTCTTTTAAAAGCAAAGCAGAGAGGACCAGGTTCCTGTCTGAGCGAGAGGGGAATGCTCCAACACTGTGTCTTGGAGAGGCAGGTACAGTTTTCAGTGTTATGAATGAAACAACCAATCCCTACAGGAATTGTGGTAAAACATCTGATCTTTGAGTTTGACTTTGGCCTAGATGGATGTAGGACACAAGACCATTTCCTTTAACTTCTCCACTCGGTCTTAGAAGTCCTCCTTCATCCAGCTGTTGAAAGGCTCTAACCTGTGGAGACTTCCATGAGCTTGTTGGGATTGAGAGCCGCTTTCTGTGACTAGCTCTCTCGGTTCTTTTTGTTTGGAGAACTTCCAGCTATGCATTTCCTCCCAGGCTTTTCTGTTTCTCTGGTTTCAACTATTTATTTTGGGGTGATTTTTGATGGTTTTTCTGTTTTACATTTTCAAACAGTGAAATGAATCTTTCCCACAGATGTTCAGACGTCTTCTTAGAAGTCTGCACCAGTCCCATCAATGTGAGGATCAAATTATCAGATGGGAGGTGCAATTTACAGTATCCAGATTATAAAAAGCAGTTTTCTGTAGCGTGTCTGAATTACTTTAGTTCCTCTCCAGGAAAATGTAAGGCAACGTTGCCTTGTGACCACATTCCTTTAAAAGCTGGCGAAGCAAATGCTGGTCAGTCTTTGACCTCAGGGAGAGTAAAGACAAGGAAAAGAGAAAGTCAGCTCAGGTGATTAAATCTCCCTTCCTTGCACCACTTCCCAATCCTTCCTGGCTGTGTTTCCTAAGGATAAATATGTGCAGTTACCAAGTATCTTTCCATGGTGTCTGTCGATCTTGGGCTGTCTCTGATTGAATCTACATTAGGGCGTGTTAAGCGCCTAGAGAAAGGTGAAAAATTAAGACAAGTTGTAAACCTCACAGAACCTAACTGAAATGAAGTACCCAGATATTCAGTTAGTGACCCATAATCATGTGCTCAGGTTCTGGAAATATGGTCATTCTAGGTTACTGGAAATTACACAAAGTGAAAAATGACTTTCACTGGCCTGTGAAATCAAGCTACACTGGTCAGCTGATGAACCATCCCCTCCTTGTTGCTGTTCTCACAAGCACGTGACCAATGACACCAAGAGTGTCCTCAGACCCTGGGTCCTTGACCACTTGTGTCCTCAGAGGCAGAAGAGCTGGTGGCCGGGACCTGGGAATCTGCTTTCTAAACCAACCTGCCACCTCATTCGTCTGCACAAGTTTGAGAGTCTGTGAAATGGGATGCTCACACTAGAATGAATACTATGTATCCTGCTGCTCAAAGCTACAGGAGCCAGGGTTTGGTTTATTTTGGTTGTGATTCAACTCCCAGGTCAGCATTTGAGTGAATGGGTGCACAGGATCATCATCGCTTCCTACAAAGTCCCCCAAAGTTTATCTTAGTCACCTTTCCCCACTCCCTACTGCTTAAATTTCAGGTCCTTAAATCCACATAAGCCTTCTGACACACCTAGACTGCTTTTTGTTCCTTTATATTCTCAAAGAATGTGGATTTGTGTGTGCACAAGTAGTTTACATGACCTCAGTGCTCTTTCACACCTTCCGTTCTGTTTCTGACTTTCACTCCACACTACTTTCTTAAGATCCATCCATGTTGTCAGCAAGCATCTAATATCTAATCCAGTTCCTTGACCACAACGCCGTTCCCAGTGATGAATGCTCCCCTTCCCTGTGATTTGAGAGCCATCCTATCAAGCCCAGTTTTAGCGATGGATTTTTAAATTAGGTGAAGAATTTCCAAAGGACTATGTTTTTAATGTCTTTATTGTGATTGTCCTTATTTGGCTGTTCTGCTTTCAGGAGCTCCAGAAAGCTGTGGACCACCGCAAAGCCATCATCCTCTCCATCAACCTGTGCAGCCCTGAGTTCACCCAGGCTGGCAGTGAAGAGAGCCAGGATCTCCAGGACCGCTTGTCCCAGATGAATGGGCGCTGGGACCACGTGTGCTCACTGCTGGAGGAGTGGCGGGGGCTGCTCCAGGACGCACTGATGCAGTGCCAGGTCTGTGCGGCTCCAAAACAGACCTGTCCAAGTGGCTGGGTCTCTGACTTATTTATCAGTCACTAGAAGAACGTAATTTCTTCTCTTGGGATACAAAAGAAATCATCACATACCTCCTCTGCATACTTCTAGGCTGGCCAATTATCAAGCAAGCAAGCATCAGACAGATCGATAAGATTAAAAATCACAGGAAGTTTAATAGTAACATTTATGTCTCCTGTACACATGGGAGAAACCCAGCAAAGCTGAGTAACTGGTCTCATGGCTTCAGCTGCCATCATGAACAACTTAGTTAAGACAGGGAGGGTGGGAAAAGAAGAAGAAAATCAGTTAGGGGGTTTACCAGGGAAGGCACAGCAAACAAAGATATTCAGATTTAATTTAAATTGTTGAGAAAAGGCAAGATTAGGTCTCCCCCAGTACAGCAAGGCATCCTCCTCATGGAGATAAGGTGACACATAAATGTCTTGCTCAAAGGCAATCTCCAGGAGGCTTCAAAGCCCCACTTATGAAATCAACCTTTCTTGCCAAGGACATATTTTGGGGTGGCAGGTTTTTGCTACCTATACTCCCCAGTGTCAGTATTTGCATGAGATGATGTTGTACCCAAACTTTTCATATACTGGAGAATCTGTGCATGTGATCAAGAGTTGACAGTAACCCTGTCATCTTCTGTCCAGCTAATAAGAGGTAATTTCCCCATTTATCTCAGTCCCACTAGTACTTCTGCAACTCATTTATTTATTTCAGTCATTTATCCAACAGATACTTGCTGACCACATAGGAAGATAACTCTTATTTTTTTTAAGATTTATTTATTTATGCACACAAGAACTGGGATGCAGGTCAGAGGTGTGGAGGGTGAAAGGATTCACCAGAGACAAAATATGGAGCAAAACAGGCAGATTGAGTAAAAACACTGCTAAGGGGAGCAGCAGGGAGACAAGAGAGGTCTGCTGCACCATGTGGGTATCTCTCTGGCCGGCTGGGGATTGAACTCATGCTGCAGAGACTGAGACAGCTTTGTAGTGCTGTGCTTAACCCCCTGTGCCACCAGGGAGGCCTAGGAAGACAACTCTTAAACATAAAGTGAGCATTGCAAATATTTACTCATCCATTCACACCATAATTATTCGCTCAGTGTCCGTTGTGATAGATATTACACTAAGCCGTAAGAATCCAGCACAGTCTCCACTTTGTTCTGGAAGAGAGATAATAATAATTGCAAGTAAAATACAAGCTCAGATGCTTACTGGATGCTCTCAGGTGTTGATAAGAGTGACTGAGAAAAGCCTGGGAGGCCTGGGGCTCTTTGAGCTGACTCTGGAAGGCTATTACCATGAATGAGACAGAGTATGTATAAATATACTTTCATGCATATATATATGGATACTATTCTCCCTTAAAATAGAAGGGAATCTTGCCATTTGTGACAATGCAGGTAGATCTTGAGGGAACAATGCTGTGTGAAATGTTAGATAGAAATAGGCAGTTACCACATGATCTCACACATGAAATCTAAAGGAGAAAAAAGCACAAGAAAACAAAAACAAGCCAAAATATCAGCTCATTTCAGAGAATAGATTGCTGGTCACCAGAGGCAGGGGCAGTCAGTGGGGAAATAAGAAAAGGGGGTAAAAATATGCAAACCCCCAGCTATAAAATAAATAAGTAATGGAGATATACAGAATGTGAACTATATAACATGCCCATGAAACTAATACAACATTGCCCATTATATCATTTTTTAAAGTAATATCTGATACATGATAAATGCTTAATAAATGTTAACTTCAAATGGAAAGTTCCAGAAGGGAAGGAGGGGACCGGAAGGAGGCCAAGAAGCCTGTGGAATCACAGTGCAATCAGTGAGGCAAGGCATGCTAAGGAAGATGGAAGGTTGTCAGCTTTTGACTTGCAGGGTCCACTAGCCCTGGCTGGAGTTTGGATTGTGTTCTAAGCATGATGGGAAGCTCTTGCAGCCTGTTTGTGAAGCCTGCTTTCCAGGTCCCAAGGGTAATAGCACCTTGCAAGCAGGCACCCAATCTGTTTCACCCCTGCACCCACTCCTAGTGCAATGTCCTACACATAGGAGACCTTCAGTAGCTGTATGTTGACTAAATGGATGAACTAATGGATAAATGAAGGACCCTGGGATTGCACTTAGGCCTTAAAAGATGAAAGCATTTGAATACAAGGAGGAGAGAGTTGTTTTCTTTCAAACTATATCATTGCATTAGAATTAAGCATTTTGTTGCAATTTGCTTCTTGTCTAAATTTTCCTCCAACCAGGTGCAAATGGTCAGAAATGTACGCAGATGATTAGGACAGCACCCAAGCTTCTGCAGAAAAGCTCTGTGTTTGAGATCTTAGAACCAAGTATCTTTTCCGATGTTGGCAGTTGTAAAGAATGGAAATCTCAGTTGCAAGGGAAAGAAAAATAAATTATTCAAGATTATTTTATACCCTGTATTTTTTAAACAGGATTTCCATGAAATGAGTCATGGTTTGCTTCTCATGCTGGAGAACATCGACAGGAGGAAAAATGAAATTGTCCCTATTGATCCTCACCTTGACTCAGAGATACTACAGGACCAGCACAGGCAGCTGATGGTAAGACCTATGAGTGTGGCAATTTTCAGTAGGTTTCCTTTCCATTTACAGAAAACAAATGTTGGTGGAAATATTTTAATTTTTTTACTTTTTACATTATAGTCTCTAAGTTCCACTTGCTTGACTCCTTCTATTTTCAATCGTTGTGAAGTAGACTATCCATGGACAGTAACGTCTATTAGTTCTAGAATCTGATTCTGAAGTCATTGCTTAATTGTAGAAATCGTAGATGTTATACTATCTAAACTAGCTTGTTTTTACTAAGACAGCTCCTTACCCAATTATACTTATTTTTAATTGAAACTATATTCCAAAAGTATGGTAAGTAGGTTACATAACAAAATGTCATTAAAGAGACCATTAAAGCTTCTGAAGAGAAATTAAGCACACCAGATTCAACAATAACCTTAATGGTAGGTTTTCTGAAAACCCAGACAAAAAGGGAAAGTGGTAAGTTGCTTTTATTCTCTAACAAAAAGAAAATACCAACTCTCAACAAGCAAGAAACTTCAAATGCTAAATTCAAGAGGAAATTTGCTGTCCTGATTTTTATGCAAGGATCTTTGGATAATAAAATGTACAGTGTACTTAAGAGATTTTATGGGAGAAAAAGAAGTATGTTTGAGTTCCATTAGGATAAAATGTTTTACATTTGGTAGCTTTCTGTAATTTTAAAATGTTATATCTTAACATTTAGCACTCAGTAACTTAACCAACAGAATTGGTAGCTTTAAATTCAGTAACATAAAGGCCTTAGAAACCAAGAAAAAATAACTATGCAACTGCATTTTTACTAGATTCTTGACCTCCGGCATTAAGATGTGAATGATGAATCATTCACTGTCTATTTTTTTTCTAAATTCCTGAATAGATATCAGAGAATACGTATACACACTTGAGTTTTGCTCTATATCGATGGCAATGTTTCACTTTTCTGTTTAAAAGAATAGCTTCTGTTTCTTTTGCATAATATATTTTAAGTACTTTCACATACAGTCACCATTTTAAGTCTTCCAATTAACACTGAAGGAAGGGATTGGTATTGGCAGACCAGGAAGGGATTGGTATCATCCTTTGAAACAAATGAGAAAGCTGGGATCAGAAATGTCGGGGGCCTTATAGAAATCTTTGGGCAGAGGGAGGTTTAGAACACAGGTCCCGGGTTTCCTAGTGCCAAGGGCTGCTCCCTCCTCAAATGTGTGAGAACGGTTTTCGGATGCTCAGGTATAATTGCCCACAAAATTAAAGTGATGTCATTCTCTACTTTGGGAACTTTCTCCAATTATCCAAAATTCTTAGAAAAGTATTTCTTATCATGTATATAGCAAATAAGGCGTGAGCTATTAGAATCCCAACTCAAAGTGGCCTCGCTGCAAGACATGTCTTGCCAACTGTTGGTGAATGCTGAAGGCTCAGACTGTTTAGAAGCCAAAGAAAAAGTCCATGTTATTGGAAATCGTCTCAAACTTCTCTTGAAGGAGGTCAGTCATCATATCAAGGATCTGGAGAAGCTGCTAGACATGTCGGGCAGTCAGCAGGTAAGCTCTAAAAAGATAGCACTGTGTAGCATTTCTTTCTTCCCCGTTTTTCAACATTTTTTTTTTTTTATTGGAGGTAACATTGCATTAACATGATATAAGTTTCAGGTGTGCGTCATTGAAATCCTCATGCATATGTACTCATTAAGTTAAAAGTCCATTTCTGTCCTTCACAGTCGCATTGCCCCTTGGTATCAGTTTCCTCACTTCTTTTTTTCTTTACCTTCTGGCAACCACTTTTTGGTCTTGTACTCCAAAAGTTGACTTTTGTTTTATTTAGTGCATCTGTCTGTTTTCCTTAAATACTACATGAGTTATCATACAGTATTTGCCTTTCTCTGACTGGTTTATTTGAGTAGGCATAATACCCTCTAGGTCCATCCATGTTCTTGCAAATGGCAAGATTTCATCTTTTTTATAGCTGCATAGTATTCCATATATATATATATATATATATATATATATATATATATATATATATATATATGTCCCACACCTTTTTTATCCATTCATCTGTTAGTGCACACATAGGTTGTTTTTAGCTCTTGGCTGTTGTAAATAATGTTGCAATAAACATGGGGGAATATATATCTCTTCAAATTAGTATTTTTGTATTTATCAGGTAAATAACAGAAGTAGGGTAACTGGATCTTCTGGAATATCTATTTTCAATTTTTTAAAGAAGTTCTTAACAACTTTCCATAATGGTTGCACCACCAGTTTATATTCCTATCAACAGTGTCTAGAGTTCCCTTCTCTCCAACTCGTGTTTATTTCTTATGGAGCATAGCCATTCTCACAGGTGTGAGGTGTTGTCTCTCTGATGTTTCAATCTGCATTTCCTTAAAACAGATGATGCACCTCTTTTCATGTTCCTGCTAGCCATTTGTAGGTCTTCTCTGGAGAAATGCTCTTCCCATTCTGTGCCCATTTTTAAAACAGATAGTTTTGTTTAACTCTTGAGTTCCATGAGTTCCTAGTATACTTTGAATTGCCATATAATGTACAAATATCTTCTCCCATTCAGTAAGGTCTTTTTGTTTGGATGCAAGTTTCTTTTGCCATGCAGAAGTTTTTTTGAGATTGATGTAATCTCATGTGCTTATTTTTGGTTTTGTTTCCCTTGTAGCTAAGTTGAGTCCCCAAACATATCTCTATGGCTGATGTGAAAGGAGTATTCACTTCCCTGTTTTCTTCTATGTATTTTATGTTTTTTTATTTAAATATTTTATTTTATATAATTCTTACATCTTTTTTCATCTTTGCACAATGTATGTATTTTCATTTTGGTTATATTCCCCATACAATTGCACCCTCCCCCCCTTATTTTGATTCTAGTCCTTCCTTTCCCCGCTCCTCCCTCCCTATTTTAAGGTTTTACATCTTCCATTCAGGTCCATTTTGAGTTAGTGTTTGTATACAGAATTAGATAGTGGTCTAGCTTCATTCTTTTGCATGTGGCTGTCTCTTCCTCGCTCCATTGTAAACTCTTGACTCCTTTGTCATAAATGAGTTGTCCATATATGTGTGGTTATTTTTAGGCTTCCATATGTGTGTCTGCTTTTATTTTACTTCCAGTCTGTTTTAGTTACTATCGCTGTGTGGTATAGTTTGAAGTTACAGAGTTTGATATCTCCATTTTTGTTTTATTATCTCAGGAATGTTTATTGTGTCAGGGTCTTTTGTAGTTCCACATAAATTTCATGATTTTCCATTCTTTCTGTGAAGAATGCCACTGGAAGTCTGATAAGGATTGCATTGACTCTGTATATTACTTAACTACTATAATTGTTTTAACAATGGTAATTCTTTTCAATCCATGAGCACAGAATAACTTTCCATTCTTTGTGTCTATTTCTTTCAACCTTGTCTTATGGCTTATGCTGTACATGTATTTTACTTCATTGTTTAAATATATTCCAAGGTATTTATTTTTACATGACTAAATGGGATTGTTTTCCTGATTTTTCTTTCCGCTAGTTCATTATTTGCATATAGAAATAGAGCAGATTTTTGTATATTAATTTTGCAACCTGCCACAGCACTGTATTTATTATTTCTAAGAGCTTTTTACCTGAGCCTCTGGGTATATTATGGTTTGCTTTGATTTGATTATTTTGGCCTTTGTTGACTTCTGTACTGAGGTATTTACATTTATTGTGTCAACGGGAGGAAGATAGAGGCTTCCAGTGACTGTTGCAAATGCTGGGAAGGGAGATGTGGTTCACGTGCCTGAAACCATGGATCTCTTTCCTCTCTGGGATCCCAGATGAGAGATTTGACAGTCTGTTTATTATCAAGTCATTGCACAAAGTCCATATTCTCAAACAGTAGAGGGGTGGGAGTACAGTCTGAGCACCCTCTCTTTGTCCCCCTTACTGGGGTAGTGGCCTATGTGGAGCTACCGAGCTCCTCCATATGGGCTTCACCTAGATCATGGGTTTGGGCCTCCAAATCATTTCCCCTCTTCTTACCTTGTGGTCCCTGGCCAGGCCAGCTGTTCTGCTCTCTGTGTCCCTTGCCCTAAGCCACAGCCTCCAGACATATTTCACTGCTTCTATCAGTGAAGTATGAGTCTCCTCTCTGCCCAGTCTGGTTCAGTTTGTGTTGGTCTCTGAGGTACAAGGAGTGCTTCAATCTCACCCAGAGCCTCAGGCCTCTCCTGCCATAGTGAGTTAGTTGTTAGCTGTTAAATGTTCTTCTTGGCAGCCAAGCAAGGAAACTTCACTGTTACCATCTTGGTGATGTTTTCTCTCTGTGGATCATTTCTACCTTAGAAAGACTTTGAATATAGCACATGCCAGAATAGAGCATACACTCTATCACTGCTCTTACAATTCTTGTCTCAAAATAATAAAGCAACTCATACTTTTGTAATATGACTACTTTAAATTCTATTACATCTAAAAGGCCTTTGACCTTTTACTGCTAACCCTATTACCAACACAATTGTGGCATTTTATGTCACAGTTTATTTATGTACTGGCAGGTTTCTAGCTACACAGCTGTGATTGATCACAGCTAATTGTTACATTTAAGTTTTGTATTCAAATCCTAGGAACATGAATTTCTTGACATAGACAACAAGTAATTCATGGAAAATGTCTTTTGCTCAATTATTTTTTAGATTTTTTTTAATTACTGCATCGTGGTCATATTGTTAGCGTTGAGAAATACATTTGTGCAAAGAGAGATGCTTGGTCAGATTTCAAATTCAATTGTGAAATCCTGTAATGAACGCTTTTGCCCTTCTGTAAGCTTAGGAAAAAACATCCCCTCTGAATAAAAGCAGTCTGAAAACAGGACAATTTCCGATGCAGAAAGGAAGGCTCCTGGATGACTGTTTTGTTTCTAACTCAGTGGATGGGCTTCCTCTAGCCTGAACAACCTGCCACTGCTGGGCAGATCACTTCACTTCCTTCATTTCCACTTACATCTGTGACTCAATGAAGTAATAAAGCTGCAAGTGACACAGAAACAACAAAGCTTTAGCTCTGTTTTCCAGAAGGGCCATGCTTACAAATGGGAAAGCTTAATACACTAGAAGCTTTAGGTTAAACTCTGTCTGTTCCAAGGAATGGTTTTTTTTTGTTGTTGTTGTTGTTGTTTTTTGTTTGTTTGTTTTAGGGGTTGGGGTTGGTTTGAGAATTGCCTTAGGTCTGACGAAGCCATCGTTGTTCTGGGACATGGAATCATTAAAAGAATCTATTTCTCACATAGGATTTGTCTTCCTGGTCTTCAGCTGATGAACTGGACACCTCAGGATCTGTGAGTCCTACATCAGGGAGAAGCACCCCAAACAGGCAGAGAACGGTAACTTTCCACTGGTCATTTCCAGTTGGCCCATGGGAGGGAGTTCTGGGGAGTGATGGCATTTGTACCCGCACAGGGCACCCATCCAGACAGGGCTGTCACACAGTGACACAGTGACGTGCTGTTTGCTCAGCCCTGCTGCGTGCCCCCACTCACCCCCATATGCACTCAGGAACTAAAAGAGTAGTTCTGTTTTCAGAAAATCAGGGTTTAATGTGCGGTTGGTTTGCAAGGAGACATTATTTTGCTCCAAGAGCCATTTCTAGAATGAGCCCTTGGATGGCTCCTCCTTTCAAACCAACACCAACATCGTCCACCTGAAAATGTAGGCTCCATGGTAGGGTCCCTCAGCCCGAGGTGGACACAGCTGCGAGACCCCTGTATTTAACAGGCAAGTGGAGGCTCTGCTGACGCTCCAGCCAAGACTCCTCAAGGATTTTGGTGACTGTCCTGCCCCCCAAAAGGCAACAACTTTAGACATCTTACCCACGAGGCCTGTGGGGGGCCACCTCACTGGCACACAATGAGGAGGAAGAGACAAATTTGTCCCTTACCCTCTATACCCGATTTCTCTGTGTAATTAGAAGCTTGTTTTTTTTTGTTGTTTTTTTTTGTCCAGCTTTATGATTATATTCATTTTTATTATCATTCCATTTTCCTTAGTTTTTAGAAGTATTGATTTTGTTTGTACTTTTCTGTTGTTTATAAACTTAAGTTCTATGCTGATAAATGTTATTATCCTTTTTAAGATTGTTCTTGACTACATTCACTAGTTTCCTGTAGATCCTAGTTTAAGAATGTGAAGGAATACTGGCTTTTCATGTCTTCCTTTAGCCTTTATGGAATCTGAATATTCAACTGGTTGGTCTTCATCACTTTGCAAAGAACAATCTCTTACTACTGTTGTTATTTTTTTATGTACCGAGAATTTTAATGCTGCATCAGTGTTCTCGAAGATGAAAAAAATATGTAAAGTATATTTGAAATGCAGAGCATGACATTGAATTGATTTTATGTCTCTTGTAAGTAAATACACAGATCATCTTGGATAGCGTAGTCATTTGTATTTTTATCATGAGAAATAAGGGGAAATACACCTATTCTGGTATGGATTCCCAAATGACAATTTATGCTTATTTCAATAATGAGAGAAATGCAAATTTTTCAGCCCAAGAAAAGCCAGTTTCCTTAATTCATGGGTACTGATCATTTCATTTGATTTATTTTTCCTTTGCTGCACTTTTAGTTTTTTTAATTTTCATTAGTAGCTTGTCTTTATTTGCCTGGACTGAACATTCTTCTTTCTTTACCCCCTGTTCATTGCAAACAGCCACGAGGCAAATGTAGTCCCTCACAGCCTGGACCCTCTGTCAACAGTCCACATAGCAGGTACCTTGTTCTCCTGGTTTCCACACTGTTCTAGAACTCCAAGAGGATGATGAAAATTGTCCATGATTTCAGTAGGCCTGTATCTGGTCTGCCTTGGGGTAGTTGAAAAATTACTTCCATCCTTTCCTAAAAAAATTGGAAGAAAGTTCTTTAACTGGAAAGTGCAAGTAAATCACAGAGCATAAAATATCTGGACCCCCCAAAAATTCTGTCTAACTCCACATTGGCCAGCTGGCACTTTCAACGGGGGTCCTCGTGTGCCACGGATTCGTTGCATGGACTGGCACTAGAGCCATTGGTTCATGGCAGACTTTCATCATCCTCTTTATTTCTAGATTTTACAATAAGACAGGTAATAGATCAGTGAATTATTTTACCATTTCCCGGAACCCACAAATCTGAATAAAATATACTAACCTCCCCAGCTTTTCTTTTATTTTCATGTTTTATCCAGATTGTGGGTTTGGGATTCTCCAAATGGCAAGTCCTAATTTGGTGTTCATTTAAATTTTCTATAAGTACCTTCTCTCTTCTGCTTATTCTGAAACTTCTCTTCAGCTGCACACTCAGTCACTCACCCTCCTGACACCTGGCAGGCTCACCCCGGGCCTCCTGGAGCCCACCCAGCCACACTCCGCCCCACACCCGCCCAGCCCCTTGCTCTGCAGTAGCGGTGCTTCGCCTTCTCTGTCGTTGCTGTGGTGTCTGTGCTCCCTGCCCCGTCACTAATCAGTTCGTGTTGCCCTAGACAACTTTAAAACAATGAAAATCCTGTCCTCTTTGCTGATCTTTCATGCCGAGCCTAATAGTTTGCCCCTCTCGGACTGATCACCACTAAGGAGGAATCCAAATTCCTGGAAGGAGGTGGGGGTGAGCCAGTGTAGCACCATAAACCACCCCGGAGTGACCACTTAGGTCTCCCAGCTGTGTGCTGAGAGGGACTGGCAGTTTTATATGGTCATTCCCACTGAACTGAATCATGCAGAATGTATTTGGATGTGCTTTCTGATTTTAAGCCTCCCTTCACAACGCTTTTTATTCCTTTGGTTTGATTTGAAGATAATTTTGTGGGGCTTTTTTTTTTTTTTTTTTTTTGGGTCCATAATGAAATGTGAATGGAGAAAAACTCACAGGGGTTTTTAAAGATAATGATGGACTCATGTGAGAGCTCTGGTGTTTACTTAGCCCCTAGCTGTAAAGACGATTGTGTGTTTGAAACAGATCTTTGTATGACACAGTCCATCCTCTCCCCTCAAATTGCCGATGTGCCATCAACAGGGATGGGGAATATCCCCAAAGCATTCCTTTTAGGATTCCAGAGATCATTTCTTTGGTTGGCATATAGGATGGCGCTGAGAAGGGACACCGCTCTTCAGTGATGGTGTAACACCAAGAGCTGCCACCTTTTTCCCAAAGACAGAAGCTCTCTGCATTCCCCTGTGCTTTCAGACAGCCACCGGGTCTTCTGAATGTGTCAAAGGCATTGTTTATTAGGGCAGCAAGTGCTTCAACATGCTCCTAACCGTGCTCTACTGGTGGGACATGCTCACCAAGCACCTTTCAGCTCTGCTCTGCCCAGCGCTGTCTATTAACATCTCCCAGGGCGTGCCGAACAGTGCCCACTTTACTTTGCTTCTCAGAAGTGCCTGGAATACAAATGATCTTCACCTGAATGGCTAACTTCCTCAAACACCTTGGCAAGCACCTCGAACCTTCTTGTACTACTTACCTCCTTGGCACCTCTGCTTGGGGTGCACTGAACCCTGGCAATGCCTTGCAGAGTCTGCTGGGAAAGAATTAGCTTCACCCATAATCGAGGTTGTCACAGTGTACCTTTCCGTGGAGACTCCGGGGTACCTTGTGTTTGATCTTGCACTGGTCCAGCAAATTTCAAAGCCTCATTGCAAAAGCACAGAGATGAGTATATTGACCCCAGCAATCCACAGTGGGAAAATTTTAGAATTATTCATCCTGAGAGAAGAAAAAAGAGTAAGTTGGAAGAAACTGGGTATTTGTATGCAGGGAGAGATTTCTTATTTCTTATTGTTGTTTTTTGAAGTCACATATTAGTAATATCTGTTGTTTGCCTACTATGTGTTCCAGTTTGATAGTTGGCCGCTGTTGTGTGTCCTTTTCAACAATATTCTAAGCCTACAGATGAATCCATGCCCGTATTAACTGTACACCTACAATGCTTAGGTCCTGGGCTTACAAAATTAATACAAAATGATTCCTGCCATTAGAAGATTTGCAAAGTGTCTGATTTTAGAGATTCCCTAAATCAATTATAAGTAGCTTCCCAAGGCTCCTTATAATTCTAAACATCTGAAAAACATCTGCCTGTATGTTCCTAACTACATCCATGGTTATTTTAGATAGAACCTATTTAAGAAGCGTGCTTCCCAAGGCACTATTTTTGATAGTCCAGCTTGTTTTTTCTACTTTGACTTAAAAATGTCTAACCTTATTTCCAATGATTCTTCAAAACTTCCCTGTAGATTAGTTGAAGTTGACAGACAGGAAGATTTCACACCATTTTTCAGCAAAGCAAAGGATCAACTGCTCTGTAGTCCAGAGTGAATCGCCGATACCACACTAAGGTCTCAAACTATAAAATTCAAAATTCCTCAGGACACCTTTGGTCTGGGACACCTTCTACTCTGGGAACTAAGACTGAATAGTGGCCCATGACTAGCTGAAACACTGAGAAGGAGGGAAAAAGACCTCATTTAAAATGTGTTCAAGGTAGCCTAATATATTTAAACAAGCACAGAAAGATTGTGTTTCTGTTTTTGTTTTTTGCATATACCCCCAGGGCCTTACTGAAAACACTTCTGTATCTTATGGAATTTTTTTTCAAGTCTTTTCCATCAGATTCCACCCTGGGGATCTATTTTTTCAAAGCTTTTATAGAGCCTCAGCATAAAGCAGGGCAGGCTGGCCCCAGGGCTGCGGACAGCTGCAGGAAAAAGCCCCCCCCCCCACACCATGACTCTGTGTTAATATTTTGAGTATGCATTCCCGTGTTTCCAGGCAACAAGTCAGGCATTTTGGGAAATGCATCACATCTTTAAAAGCACTCTTAGTATATCAGGAATGTTTCCCTAGGAGGAAAGGCTGAATCCAGCCAAGTCCCAAGGGTCTGAGTCAGTGCACACTTGCTTTAATGACACAGATGATAGCAATAAGTTACAGACAATAATGATAAGTTGCTGACATTTATTTAACATTTCACTCTAAGCATTGTATACGTGTCACCTCATATAACCCCCATGACATGGCTATACTCCCAATTGAAAGGCAAGAGCACAGGTAGTGAGGGGCATGAGATTTAGAATTTGAACCCAGATCGACCTGACTCTCTTCTGTTGGTTAGCTTGTTAACTGCTTCACTCTACCCAAAGGCTGTTGGTCCTTGGGATACTTCAAACAGCAGTTCCAGGGCAGGGGCAAGCACTACTGGCTGCCAGAGTTAGTTTAGGACCAGCCAGAATATTCAGCTGAGCAAGAGGAAACTGCAATTTTCCATCGATACCAAAAGCTTGACTGTTGACCTGTGTATCTAAGGAAGACTCTAGGCATCAAAGGCGATTCACACAAGAGAGGGCTACATCATAGACAACCCAGAAATATCCTCACCATAAATTCCTATTAGCACCCTACCAGTATCATTCAGATGTACCCAAATCTGAATGAATGTGGAGGAGAAAAATCAATATTTACATGTAGAAAATAGTACATCTGTGCTAGACAGAATTATCTGAAATATCCCTATTGATTAAGTCTAGAAATAATTTCATAATTTCATTGTTCCTTCATAGAGTCCTCACTGGCATCTATTTATCTCATCAAAAGGTCAGTGGAGAAAATAATGTGTGTGACCAGGGAGAGAATTGTCTTCTTTGCCTTATCAAATTGCCCAAGGCTTTAGAAACCTTAGGTGTTCTTAGTCACTAGATAAATATTGAAAATTCCTTTTTGTTGGTAATAGAAATTCTAAACAGGTTCAAGCTAAAGAAGAGGCTCCTTCAGGCAGGGTGAAACCCTAGAAATTGCCCTAAGGGGGTGGCATTTCTCACTGTAGATAGATGGGGCATTTGCAAGCATAGTAAAGTGCATGGAAGCTTGCCAAGCACTGTGTGTTCTCTTTGTCCCCATCTCATCCCATGACTTCTCCTAGGTTGGCACTCTTCAACATCAGTAGGCATGCACTAATTAATTTTTAATAAGGGATGCTCTGATGTGGTTCAGTGTCCCATGTCCCTTAACAGATTCCATAACATATGAGCCCATTTCCAAAATGGTGACCTTTTCAGTTTTTCTCGGTCAGTGTGAGGCCCCTGGTTTCCACCTTGGTCTTCGGCTCATTGCTCAAGGGAAATAATGATTGACAGACAGGAACTCTTCAGCAGTGTCAGATTGTAATTCCAACTCTGTGCATAAATCTGCCCATCTCTAGTGTCCTTAAATGCTTCCTCAAGAAAATGAGTCAGTGAGATGTCTCCCTCATTTTACTCAAATATTTAATGGTGAGGAAACATGGGCTCTCTTGGGCTTCTGTTATAACTCATCCAATGACAAGTGGTGAGTGTTGTTTGCCAGCACAGATTTTCAGGTCAAGGGAAAAAAATAATGAAGAAAAATTCAGTCCAAAGCTCATGGGTAACCATCCCATTGTTCTCAAGACACTAGGCAAATTATTGAATCATAAGGTGTCTGGCCCTGATGATTTTAGGATATTAGTACACAGAGATCAAAGAGACAAAATTATTTGCCCAGACAGAATGCCCTCATATGCACGTTCCAACGCTGATCTCATGTAATGCTGTGAGGCCTTATGGTTAGAGGCTTTTATCTTAGACATGAGGAAATCACTTCCAATTTGGGTTACAACGTTTATCTTCTTTGCTGAGACTGAGAGAACTGAAGATAGAGACTTAGTGTGTTGCCCAGCTATTAGAAGAATAAATGTTAATTGTCAGTAGTGACTTAGATACAAAATTTGGAGATGGATTCAATTCCATCTAAGACCTTATCTCAATATTAATATTTTGTAATATTTTATAATTAAAATATTTTATCATTAGATATCCCAAAACATTTCTATTTTCCCCTTCCATTAGTAGGTTTGTGCTGTGATTGTTTTATGCCCTACAATATTTTCACAAAATACGTAATTTTTCCTACTCAGTTCCTTAGAAATAACTCATTGGTCTTTACATGAGGATAGTTTATCAGTTTGACCACTAGATGGTGATTGAACTCTTGTGGCCTCTTAGTTGGTAGACTGTTTACACAGACCAATTAATGTATGACATAAAACATGGAACTTTTGGGTTAGTAAACCACTTAGTCTAATTTAAACCAAGGGGTTGAAAATGAGATTGGCACAGAGCGGTGGAGTTGTTCAAGGTTACACAGCCATCAGTTATACATTTCAGAAAAGAACATGGTTCCAATTTAGGCCAGTGATTTGTTTTTGGATTATTTTGTCTTTTCATTACACTACAAGACTGTGTTAGAAACACAGGGTGGTGCAAAACATCTTGGGGCCTCTGTCGGACCAGTCAGCTTGGCTCCCATACTTCTTGGTGGCTCAGTAAAAGAGTCTTGAGTAGGCTTTTGTTCCCCGTTAAGGGGATTATGTTTACTTTTTGTTTTTACATTTATATTCCCTGGTGCCACCCATAACCCAAACTGATGCCAGTGGTTTCTGTTTTCAACATTAATAGCTAGCAAGTAACTGGAAACAGTGTTGTCATACAAAAAACATCCAAATTAATCATTTCCATTTTTCTACATTCTAATTTGCCAGTGGGTTCATGTTTAACATCCTTGTCCTTAGTGATATTAAAGTCTTTTAGGGAATTCAAACTAGGTGTGACAGGATGCATCTTCTTGGTATATCTATTTTTGTTGCCCCTGCCATGATGTGTGTGTGTGTGTGTGTGTGTGTGTGTGTACAAATGACTCTCAGAAAATAATATTCTTCATCTTTTCCATTAGTAACTGAACATAACATTCATGGATGATCAGAATGGGAAAATGGGGGCACCCCATCCTGAATTTACTTACACATTCAGTATTTCACAGGCAGTCTTCCCTATGAGTTCTGAGATTCTTGCCTAATCTCTAATGCACTGTTTAAAGGTAGACAGGAAGATAAAGTGGGAAGAAAAACTTGGGGAACTTTGAGTCTAAGAAGAGCCTTCAAGATGAAAACCTGTCCTCTCTAGAACATTTGGGTCTGTTTCCCAGAGTCACGCAGAGTTAGTGATAGGTAGGATCAGCCTAGAACCTTCGCCACTCGACACCAGTGTTCTGTGACTGGCAACACGCCTTCCTTGTTCCTAGAGCTTTAGAATCCACTAATGTCAGGGCCAGATGCTGATCCAGTGCAAGATGAAACCAGGGTCCACTCTAAGATTAAGCTTTATGGGTCTGTGCAAAATGACAAGGGCTGCTCTCTAGTCTCGCTGCATGGGTGTTAGCACATCCAGGATGACTAGACTGGGTACATTGGAAGATTCTGAAAGCAACTAATGTTGCCTAATGGTACTGCTGATATTTTTAAACCAAAAGCGTTCTCCATTTTAACGATGCTGGATCTACTGAAGTAACACAGGTAGAACGTGTGTAGAGTAGTTATCTTTGTAAATGGAAAGTGTTTTACCAAATTAAGGGGTGGAATTTGAACTGAATTAGTTAAATGACAAAATGCTGATTTTTCATCAGTCCAGTTTCCAGATAACTCTTCATGTGGTGGTGGGAGATGGCCAGAAGGCTGGCAGCTGCTGCCAGGCGGGGTTGTCTCTGGCCTGGTCCTTCAGCTTCCAGGAAGGTGAAGAAGAGGAGGGCAGCCGCCATCCAATATTTGAGGTATCTGAATGATTTATGTCAATTTTTCTCTCAGGTCCATAAGAGGTGGCTCCGATTCCTCCCTTTCTGAGCCTCGGCCAGCTCGCTCCGGCCGAGCCTTCCTGTTCAGAGTCCTCCGAGCTGCTCTTCCTCTCCAGCTCCTCCTGCTGCTCCTCATCGGGCTCGCCTGCCTGGTTCCGATGTCTGACGAGGACTACAGTTGTGCCCTTTCCAACAATTTTGCCCGATCATTCCACCCCATGCTCAGATACACGAATGGCCCTCCTCCGCTCTGAACTGCTGCTGCCAACTGCAGCAGCCTTGGGTGCGTGAGAGGATTTAGCCCAAAGCAATCCCCAACTAGCAAAAAGCGGGCCTGCAGCCCGGCGAAAGCCCTCAGTGTGGCAGCTTTAGCTCTCCTCCAAATCCCGCCGTGCTGACCGTGGCCTCGGAGATGGAGGCCAGACCGTGGCAGGAGGAGAGCAAATGGACGACAGAAGGTTTGGAAGAAATTGGGCTTGAAATGCTGAGCCTCAGCACTAAGAGATCAAGGACTTCCAAGGACCCCTGGAATGGTGCTGTCCATCCATTCAAAGAACAACACTCCTTGCGCGCCATTTCCATACGGAACAATCTCCCGGCCAAGCAGCGCCGAAGAGATTGCAGAACCTGTAACATACAGTTTTTAAGAGCTTATCCGACAGCTTCCTTTTTACCTTGTTTTCCTTTGGGGCATGATTTCGCACCGTTGCTTTAGAAGCACAAGCTGTAAATCTAACAGGCACTTTTTAAAAAAGTAGTAAGAGTAACTGGATGTAATAAATAAGATCATCAAAGGCTTTATGTGAAAAAAAGTTGAATGTTATAGTAAAAACAAAAGATATTTATGTATGTACAGTTTGCTAAAGCCAAGTTTTGTTAATGTATTGATTTATTTGCATTTATTATATAGAGACTATAAAATATTTTGTCTGTGCTTTCTTTTTTGGGTGTCGGATTTTTTAGGGGACTTGTGAGGGAGGGCTGGGGGGGGGGAGGGGCGGGGGGGGCGGGGAGGCGGGGGGGAGGGGGGGCGGGGGGGGCGGCGGGGGGAGGGGAGGCGGGGGGGGGAAGGAGGCGGGGGGGGGGGGGAGGGGGGCGGGGGGGGGCGGGGGGAGGGGGGAGGGAGGCGGGGGGGAGGGGGGGGAGGGGAGGGGGGAGGCGGGGGGGGGGGGGGGGAGGCGGGGGGGAGGGGCGGGGGGGGGAAGGGGGGCGGGGGGGAAGGGAGGGGAGGGGGGGGGGGGGGGGGAAGGGGGGGGGGGGGGAAGGGAGGCGGGGGGGGGGAGAGGGAGGGCGGGGGGGGAGGGGGGGGGGGGGGGGGGGGGGAGAGAGGGGGGCGGGGAAGGAGGGGATGGCATGGGGGAGCAGCAGGGGCGGCAGGGAGGCGGAGGCGGGAAGGCTGCCAGCACATGCAGGCTCTGGCTCCATGCCGCCCTTCTGGGGGCTCTGCTGCGCTCTCCTAGCTCCATGCCCCCTTCTGGGGGCTAACGCTCCCTGGCCGGGGCTTGAACTGAGGTCGCAGCGGTGAGAGCGCTGAGACTAACCCCTAGGCCATCCTGGAGGCCCCGCAGAGGCTTAGTTAAATGGAGCCTTTAACCTTTATTAGGAGGCTTCAGAGAGCTGCTTCTCAGAAGAGAACTACTTGACAGCTTCCCTTCCCTTCCCAGCAAGTCCCTTCCCTTTCCCTTCCCTTCCCTTCCCTTCCCTCAGTGATCATCACTGTCTCCTCCTAGGGCCCCTGGGCGCTGAGGGAAGATGGCTTTCAGCAGCACCTCCATGTCTTCATCGGTGACAAGAGGGGGCAAAGTATGGGGATTTTTCAAGTATAAAGTATTTTTCATTGATGAATCAGAAGAAAAACCTACACAGTTCAGAAAGTAATCAGGATTGTACTGATCCTGAAAGATTTCTTTGGTGATGATCGTGTGTAAAATCCATATTTAGAAGTTTCTAGAGATTTAAGTATGCAGACTTCTGATGTCCTCATAGAATAATGAATGCTCTTAGCGAGCTGAAGAGACTCAAAAAAACAAAGTAAATAATCCAGTCACAAAATGGGCAGAAGAGATAAAAAGGAACCTCTCCAAAGAGGAAATGCAAATGGCCAACAGGCACATGAAAAAATGTTCAGCATCACTTGCAATCAGGGAAATGCAAATCAAAACCACCATGAGATACCACCTTACACCAGTGAGAATGGCACACACCAAAAAAACTAGCAACAACAAATGTTGGCGAGGGTGTGGAGAAAAAGGAACTCTCCTGCACTGCTGGTGGGAGTGCAAACTGGTCCAGCCACCATGGAGAGCTGTGTGGAGATTTCTGGACCTACTAAACATAGAGCTTCCATAGGATCCAGCAATTCCACTCCTAGGTATTTACCCAAAGGACACAGATACATTAATTCTAAAGGGCACCTGCACCCCTATGTTTATAGCAGCACTGTCCACAATAGCCAAGCTTTGGAAACAACCCAAATGCCCAAAAATAGATGACTGGATCACGAAGATGTGGTCCACACACACCATGGAATATCACTCAGCATTCAAAAAAGACAAACTCATGCCATTTGCAGCAACATGGATGGAGCTGGAAGGGATCATGCTCAGCGAAATAAGCCAGAAAGAAGACGAAAAACACTGGATGGTCCCACTCATAGCAGGAATCTAGAAACCAGCAAAGCACCTGTAGTCCATGACCTTAGTCTATCCTTTGCACTTGTTTTCTTCACATTGTATAGAAGAAATGGATTAAGTAGAAGAAGCCATACATTTCTGGGCATTAAAGAATAGTTTGTGTGGTTGTTCAGAATCATCTTGGAAGGTGCAGTGATTTCTCTCTCCATATCCTCCAGATATTTCTTAGCTCGCAAGTGTCTTCTAGTACCACCGTCTCTTCTCCCATCAGTATACACTCTGTTTGCCTTCCTTGCTCCTAGAAGCTGCCCAAGGACATATGACAATATTCTAAGATCTTTCCAGGCCCTCCATGGATGGCAGTGGTTTCATATCACGCTTAAACAATCTCCTGAGGTTGTGACCAGAGATTCGTCCATTGTCGCTGCTCTCACAGACGCGCCAGGGCTCGGGAGCGGCGCTGGGGGGCGATGGGGTCCAGCACAGAGGACGGAGGCAGCTGCCGGGGTCCGGGAGTCTCCTGGCCAGAGCCGTCCACAAGCTGCCTCCGGGCGCCCCAGCGCTAGCAGAGGCGCCGGAACTTCCGGACGGGCGGGGGCGGGGCCGCGCCTCCCTGTGCTTTCTTTCTGCCCCCTCAAAGATATGATCAATTTCCCTACTAAGCTGGCATTTAGCAGAAGCAACCTAAATGATTTTTTGCGTTTGTGTGTGGAATGAACGAAGCTGAAACATAGTGTGCATAAAAGAACAAGGATGATTCCTAAGACCTTTTTTTTGCTTCCCAAGACCTTTTCATCTTTTCCTTTCCTTTTTTTTTTTAAAGATTATTTATGCATACAAGAACTGGGGTACAGGCCAGAGATGTGGGGAGAGGGGTGGTGAGAGGAGTCACCAGAGACAGAGTGGGGAGCAGAACAGGCAGATTGACTGAAATACACTGCTGAGGGGAGCAGCGGGCGAGTTAGGAGTGGTCTGCTGCGCCTTGTGGGTAGCTCCCAGGCTGGGGATCAAACTTGTGCTGCAGAGGCTGCAGACAGCTGCATAGGTTGCATCTTAACCCCTTGCGCCACCAGGGAGGCCCTCTCCTTCCCTTTTTAACTCCATTACATAACTGGGATGTTTTCCCATGTTCTGACTGAAATTCCTTCTCCTTATGCATTTTCTTTTTTTTTTTTTTAAAAGATTTATTTATTTATATATACAAGAACTGGGGTACAGGCCAGAGGTGTGGAGGGTGAGAGGATTCACCAGAGACAGAGTGGGGAACAGAACAGGCAGACTGACTGAAAACACTGCTGAGGGGAGCAGCGGGTGAGTCAGGAGAGGTCTGCTGTGCCATGTGGGTAGCTCCCTGGCTGGCCGGGGGATCGAACTCGAGCTGCAGTGGCTGTGGATAGCTTCATAGGTTGTGTCTTAACTGCTTGTACCACCAGGGAGGCCCCATTCTTATGCATTATCTTAAGAAACTCTTTTTTCATACCCTTTCTTCACTCCACACCCTTCTATCGCTTTTTATTATCTATGAGAAGAAAGACAATTTCAGTCTACTATTCAAATCTGAACACACTAAGATTTTCTTCTGCCCCTTGGATTTTGCCAACTAGTGGTACTTGTGGAATGACTCGGTGCTTGTGACATTTAAATTCGCTTAATAATTGGAGGGGGAATGGCTCACAATCCAGGTTTCAGGCTTCTCACCAGCGGAAAGCGCTGGTGTCTCCTGCAGACATAGTCACTGCAGCCTGGTGTCCGCCATCCCTTGAAGGGTAGGAAGGTCGGTTTTTACATTTGCATTTCTGTCCTAACAATTTCTCTCGTTGCCGGTGCCAGCCTAACCCTATAGGCACTGGAGTCTACAAATCCTGCTCTGAATCAAATGTTCGAACCAAAGCCAAGTCCTCAGAATTACCTGACGCTGTGTTTCACGGCTTCCATGAGCTGACGCCATGTTCCACGGTTTCCACGAGTGCCATCTCGACTGGGGGGCTGACTCCCTGGCTCATGCAGACCTTCTAATTCCATCTCTCGGGGTACAGCCTGGGAGCTTGCAGAGACAGAGCAGGAAACAGAACAGGCAGACTGACGAAATACACTGCTGAGGGGTGCAATGGGCGAGACAGGAGAGGTCTGCTCGCCATGTGGGTTGCTCTGAGGCCGGCCTCAACTGCCTGCGCCACCAAGGGAGGCCTGGAATAATATTTTAGTGATGAAATTTGCACAAGCAAACAAAGTCTTAGAAAAGGAAAGGACAGAGGAAATCCATAAAGCTAGACAGGGAAATAAAGAACGAAGAGCTAAAAGTATGATGTAAGTGAAACTAATAAGAAACAAAAAAAATAGATACTGATCTTGGCCATGGCATAGTGTAAAGAGCCTATAATTTGAAGTCAAATAAACTTTAATTGTAAGTCAAAAAAAATCCTAGATGTTACCAGAATTAAAAAAAAAAAATTCAGAGAGGAGTGAAAGGTTTTTGGGGAAACCATGCCCCTGATGGCGTGTTGCCTGCCGGAGAACCGGGGAGCAGTGGCTTCTCTTGTGTGAGAAGGGAGGCCTTCAAAGACTCCGATGGGAAATTCAGCAAACAGGCCTGAGATTTACTGTAAAAAGGCAGATTTGGGTAAACTAATTTACAGCCTATGTTCCAGGACCAAATATTCAGAAAGTAAGGCTACAGTGTGTTGCCAAGCCACATGAGAGCTTGTAAAGCAAAGAACAATGGAGTGAGTTGATTTATAAAAGTTGGTCACGACAAGAACAGGCTCTCAAGGAGCTGGTCTCCAAAGTGAGGTTCTCTGTCGCCATCAACATCACCAAACACATCCCTAGGGAATGGTGTGGCAGTCAGATCTTCTGAGTGTGTGCCGAAGAGTTCCAGAAAGGCCTGGCCAGTGGGGCCCATTGCCACCAAGGCACAGGAACCAAGCTCCTCAGGAGTCAGCGCACAAATAGGACCTCGTCCTTTCTGGCTTATTTTTATTCATTAAAAGCAGTCATCCCTCGGCATCTGAGGTATAGAGGAAGTCATACTTTCTTCCACCAATTACATTCCTAAAGGATAGGCCAACCCAAAATATTCAATACAGGGCCCCCCCACCCAAGACATGGCACTTGGGCATGTGAATTATTTTGAGCTGAGGCCAATCAGGGCCCATTGCAGGCTCATGAGAAACTTCTCCCACTTTCTTAGTACCTAAAAGAATGAAAATGGAGGGGGGGTGGAGAATTAGGGTTTTTATCAGAAATCACCTTCCTGTTGGAGAAACCTAGCTGTAT